CCCAGAGTATAGTTTAAGAAGGGCTCAGTCAACCCTGTCTGAAGTCAGGGTGATATGCTGAGCTCTCCATACTTAGTCCTCGCCCTGAGCCAGCTTGGGTTTTATCCGTCTCTGTCCTCTGTCTTTTCATGCTTCATTATTCCTCCACACATTTTTTTTCACAAATTTGTCCTTCTCTCTCACTAAGAATTTAGGTTTCCTTTCCTCCCTTCTCTTTCATCTGATTCTCCCTCCTCAAATAGCTCAAAAAGACTACACTCCGATAAGGGATAGTTAGATAGACCCTGCCAGGGGGTTGGAAGTTGGAAGGAGCATTTTAGGGATGGTGAATGGGGCTGGGGATTTAGCTTAGTGGTGCTGCACCTGCCTTGAAAACACACAGTCCTGAGTTTGATCCCCACACCAGAGGGGAAAAAGAAGGAATGATGTGTAAAACACAAGTTGAATAGTTATGTCCACATATCATTAATTAATAGCTCAGAAAGCTCTATTACAGGTTGCTATCCTATCTTGCTCAATATTTTTACCAATGACATAATTTAAAGGAGATAAAGGAGAACATTGTATAGAAAAAAATTCCATCCATAAAAAGGATCCAACATATATACATTTTCACACATCAAACAATATAGCAGCAACATACATAGGCAGAATCTTTTGGGGAAAACTTGATAAAAACAGGACTTTAGAAGACTTTAACATTAGTCAGGCAAAAGGACATTGTGGATATAAAGTATTTTAAACCATCAAACTTAAATGAGTATAGAATTGTATGCATTAAAATAAAATATGCATTCTTCTTGAACAAGTTAGAAAAAATCTGGTGTTTTTAGTTACAGAGCAAAGGGTAGTATATTCCAAAGAATAAATACCTTACCATCATATTCCCTTGCTATAATGCAATACAACTAAAAAAGGAAAACTTTTTGTATTTTAAAAATACTCTTCTAACTAACCCTCAGATAAATTATAAAAACCAACACATAGATTATTTACCTTGAATTCAGCATGTATGTTAAATTTGAGACACCAATAAAACTTAGGAGGTCATTTAATATACTGCATGGCCAACTGAGATCCCTTTCCAGAGGTACACACTGGAAAGACGGGCCGGCACTGGTGAGCATGACGTCTAACAGAGTGGCACTGTGTCCAGAAAGCCAGTAGCAGAAGTACAAGGAGGAGGAGGTGTGATTGAGTGGCACAATCTTTAAAACAAAAGTGATCACACAGAAATAAGATTTAGAGGTTTTATTTAACAAATGTGTTCCCCATCCATCAAGCATGATGTGGCTGCCAAGGAAAGTTAGAATGACTCTGGCCTTCGCAAATGGATGCAAACCGCCTGGAACAGGAGAGGCAACAGCCCAGGTCTGCAGTAATCGTGCTTGTACCCGGGGATTCCGCTTGAGCCCCCTGGCTTGGGAAAAATAATAAGAGCCCATTCCAAGAGGAGTGAAGGAAACCCTACAGACTTACAAAATAAGTCAATAACATTAGTATGAGACACAGCTGGATGAAGTAGAGAAGCTTGGCCTGAACTTGAAGCAACACTTTGAACTTGATGCTGTTCTCAAATATCTGAAGAGCGTTTAGACAGCAAGGGGTAAGGTTACTGGAAGACAGATTTCTGTGAGTCAGAATATTCCAACGTGAAAGTACAGCTTAGAGAGACAGCAAGTTCCCTGTCATCAGAGATGTCCTAGCCTAGTTTGGTTAAATAGTAGATACAGATATTGAGGCAAAGATTGCAACCCTGGAAAAAGGAAGTGGATGAATCAGACAAAGCTTCCAACCCCGAAACCTTCGGTTCTCCTGGAATCTTGCATTCCTGCCAGGGTGCATGAGCTTTTGAGCTTGGTACGCAGAGTTGTAAACTGAGTTGCTGCCATTCTTCATTAGCATTTTGAGCACAGGGCCTGGGGTGACATAGGGCTCTGAGTGTTCATAGCCTCGTAGAGGCAGCCCCAACCCAGATGAAACCCAAAATAGTTCAGGAATATTTGAAGCTAAATTTGAAGTGGTCAAATGGAGGCGTAGTGTGTCAAAGAATTCACACAAGGGGTCAGCAAGGGTTGGAGGGATGAGGACTCCTCCCAGAGGAGGCTCCAGAGTTCGTTTGTGTACATTAGGCACTGTGAGTGGTTTGGAAGTGATGGTGACAGAGATGTACACGATAAGCAGGCATGATGGTGTCTCTTTCCTTGGAGGGCAGAACATGGTGCACTTGGCTGGCATGCAGCTCCCCATGTGTGCGATGCCTCTCACCATTTCCACTCTCAAGGCCACTGTGGGTCCTGCAGACATGGGTTTCTGCTCTGCACTTCCTGCTCACTCACAGCCTGTGACGCTAATGGATCGCTGCAACAGCTGCTTGTATTGACTAAGCTTTTTCTTCATCTTCCAATCACCTCAGCCTCTCTAACCACAGCCGCCCTTTCATTCGGGAACCTAAGACCTTCCTCCTCAAAGAGAGCTCCACCCCTGCCCTCCACAGCGCACGGTTCTGATCACAGGAGTGAACAGTCCCTTGCACTGATCTCAGGCCTGTGGCTCTGAGCACTTGTCGCATGCACTCTTCTGTTGGCTCTTTCTGAGAGTGTTGAGGGAAGGAGCTTAGGGCCAGGGCTTCCCCGGAAGGGAAGAGCTCAGAGCACTTCCCCAAGGCCACCCAGGGAAATGAGCTGGTTCTGGGATGGAGGAGCAGAACATGAGCCTTCTGACCCCGAGCTGGCTAGTGAGGCTGTTGGTGGAACAAGGCTGTCACGGTCTCCATTCCCAGGATGGGTGTGTTCTGACCCAGGCTTGTCACAATGCTGCTCGGGCCTGGGGACTCCCCCTGGGCTAGCGTTCCCAAAGGGTCGGCTCTTCAAGTGCAATTGTTGGAGCCCAGCATCACTGAGCCCCACTGCAGTCCCAGGGCTTCTTTAGCGTCAATCTAAGCTTTGGGAGCAAGAGATGCTGAAGGGACCGTTCAGAGGCTCTGTCTGCCTTCCTTTAACTTGTCTTATAATAGTTTGTAAAGTAACTTAATTCAGGAGAAGCAAACTGGCACATGAGCATGAAACATGGAGAGTATTAATTTAATCAAGTAAAACAGGGCAAAATTAATATTATACATTTAATGATATCATAAAAGTAATGCCCTGCCTGGTTATTAGGCATAAATGTAAACAGTTTACTTGAATGACTGTAATTAATATTGCTTTAGCAGAGCCAAGTCAATTTTTTTTTTTTTTTGGTACTCGGGATCGAACTCAGGACCTTGCACTTGCGATGCAGGCACCGGAACCACTGAGCTAAATCCCTGAGCCAAGTCAGTTTTTAAGTTGCTCTCAGCTCACTTCCTTAGTTCTACAATAGAATTTGTGTAGTTGAGATCACTATCTAAAGTTTTCCTTAATACTATTTGGTACCTAGCATCTAAGTTTTTCAAACACAAGAAGGTAATTCCAGGGACCAGGAGGAAACCATCTTGCTTTCTGAAAAGCTGCGTCTAGTTCTGACTTGAAAGTGTCCCTATCCAAGAGCGTGGGCTTTTCCCTCTGATTTTCCCTCCCAGATTTTCTTTTAATTTTATGCATTAGCCAAGAGCAAAAGTAGCAGCCTCAAAGATCTGTCTTATTCGTGGCCAAGGATACTTGTTACACCAGGGAGAAAGGCACCTTCCTTGACGGGGCCCCAGCTGGGGGAAGTCCTGGAGGGTCATCTCCAGTGTAAGGGTCATCGTCTTCTGCTGAGCATGCCTGAGGCCACTGGCGTACAGTTGCTGAAAGTCCAGCGTCTTGAGGTCACAGCCAACAGTGGGGACTCAGAGGCCCTTGCTCCGCTGTGAGTGCCCCTGGCCTTGGAGTCTCCCCCACTACTTCCTGTAGTCCAGCCCATGGTTTCTGTAGAGCTGGAAAGATCCCATTGAGATGGCTCCTTGTTCAGTGCTGAGGCATTCACTCTGCAGGTGGCAAGTGAGGCGGGACTGCGACTGGGCAGTGGCAAAGCCTTGGACAGCCGGAAGGTCCAGCCTTGGGTTGGGGCCCTGAATGGCCATGGGAGGAAGGGGTGACTGATGGACGGCTTAGACTAACTGCAGTCTCATCCTTTATGTTTTGTTCAGACGTCTCCACAGTGCCTCTTAGAACTGAGAACAGGGTTGTTTCCTTAAGGATGGAGGTCTCTTGAATAAAGGGCAGAGTGGGTTCCACCTTAGAGTTTAGATTGGCAGGTAACACACTCACACAGGCACAGAGAGCTGTCATAGCATCAGCCTGTGAACAGACCTGGAGCTCTCTTAACAGGGCAGGGAAAGGGCCTCCCACTGTGTGGCCGGCTGGAGGAAGTACATATGCAAGTTCTTGGGATTGGTGATACTCTGTCGAATGACATCAGCTTCAGGTCAAATGCTAAGTCCAGGTCCTTCCTGTTTAACTTTGGAGGAGCATTAGAAGGAGAGTCCACTGACTGGAAGAGAAGGGGACCAGAAAATGGTCCCAAGGAAGATGTGCACACCTGTAGTCAAGGGTGTGGAGGTGGTTATCATCATCATGGAATCTTCTGAGACTCTTAGGAGAAACATGGACACACAAACTTAAGAGCATGATTTCAAGGAGCAGACAATGACAGCACAATGTCAGAGTGCTGACATAGCCAGATGGAGACAGCTTCCAAACCAGAAATGAGATTAACTAAGGTGCTGAATGGGAGAGAGTCCCACCCAAGGTGACTTCAGGCTGCCTGAGAGCATGGGGATGGGAAGGCAGGGCCGGTGAGTCAGGCAGAGTCAAAGGCCTGGTGTTGAAGTAGCACAGATAAGGAAGCTGTGTCCAGGTAGCTGCACCTAGGAGCGTGTGGATCGCTGGGCGTGGAGGTGGGCAATGGGCGAGCTGCCAAGAGCTGTGATGTCCAGCTGGGCCTCTGGGCTCCGAGTCCCTGCGGTGGATGCAGTCACTGGAGAAGGGCGGTCTCATTGCTGACCCATCACACCCCCCCTTCTGCCATCTCTGCAGGAAAATTGCAGCTTATGATGAAGAAATCCAGCATCTCTATGAGGAGATGGAACAACAAATCAAAAGCGAGAGGGAGCAGTTTCTCCTGAAAGTGAGTGTCCACCCTCTGGGTGTAGCTTAAGGGCTGGCTGGGCTGATGTTTCTACACTGACCACCTCCCCCAAATGTGAGATCACAATGCCACCACCCGTGGCACTGTCAATTCTTTCTCTGCTTTATTTATTCTTTTCAAGGCATTTGTTACCTTTGAACATGACATATGATATACTTGTTTATTTTATTGATTCTTGTCTGCCGCTTCCTACTAACATAGAAGCTCCATAAAAGTGGGGATCTTTATCTTTTACTTACTAATGTGTCCTCCACTCCTAGACCATGCCTGGAACATGGCAAGTGTTCAACAAGTATTTGTTTAATCAGTTGATGAATGAACAGGTGGAAGGATAGATGCATAAATGGATGGATGGATGGATGGATGGATGGACAGATGGATGGATGAATGGATGGATGGATGAACATGTGGATGAATGCATGGATGGATGAATGAACAGGTGAATGGTTGGATGGATGGGCAGATGGATGGATGGATGCATGGATGGATGGGTAGATGGATGGATGAAGGAACATGTGGATTGATGCATGGATGGACAGATGGATGAATGAATGGATGGATGGGTAGATGGATGGATGAATGAACATGTGGATTGATGCATGGATGGATGGATGGATGGATGAATAGATGGATGGATGGATGGGCAGGTGAGTGGATGAATGAACAGGTGGATGGATGGATGGATGGATGGATGGGCAGATGGATGCAGTGAAAGCTTTATCAGTAAAGTGACCTAGAAGTTGGGTCTGACACTGGCTGGAACCTAGACCTATATCAAAGATCCACGCAAACACATCAGTCCCATTTCACACCATGCCCAGCAGCTGTCCCCAGAGGACAATCATTAGCACCCAGCCTGCCCATCTCTTCTCCTTAGATGCCTAGAAAATGTCATCACCAAGAAAAGCAAACTCCACCATGCCCAGATACCATGGGAAAAAGTACCCCTGTTCCTAGTCTGGCACACACTTAGCCCCTTTCCTAGTCCTGCTCTTTGTCTTGAGGTCAGGATTGGTGAAATTCTCTCTTCTACCAAACTAAGCAAGATCTTTTTTGGAACGTATTCATTTTTTAAAAGCTACAGGAAACTGTATTATCCATTCTTGGACTATTCACTTGGTGAGTTCTCAGCAGAAAAGCCTTTGAGCTTGACCTGCAGCCTCTTCTGCCTCTCAGCACTAAGCCTCCCAGCCCCTTCCCTTGAACCAAGTTTTAATCACATGTTGCTTCAGATTATCCACACCACAGCTGCATTTAGTATTGCAGATGTCACTCAAACAGAGGGAATTGGAAAAATCCAGCCATGTTCTCCAGCCAGAGCCTCTGGAGCTTGTCAGCATGTCAAGGCCACCCACATTCTCTTTGAGAACTTCAGGTCCTTCTGGCTGCCCCTGAACCCAGTGAAGTTGAATGTGCATGCAGCAGACAGCTCATGTGTTGCATCAGCAGACTTGCAGCAGCTTCTGACAGCAGCAGCCTCCCTCACTCTGTGATGGGAAGCCACCCCTTCATCCCAAATGACACACTGTACAGAAGGGACAGGCTTTGGGGGCATTTGCCCTTCTGCCTGGGGCTGTGACTACACGTCAAAGAGAAGCTTTCAGAAGCGAAAGGCAGGCTGGGAACAGGCTGGGAGTGGGTGGAGGCCAGAGGAAAACATTCAGGGACAGGTTAGTGACCCTTAGGACAGGCCGGCCATGATGTCGTGCCCCTCAACTGTCCCCTTCTGCTTCCTCTGTCTCCTCTCTTCATAGCCAATACTCAGAGAACTCAGGGCTTAGGCTTATGCTTTTGACATGAGCATGGAAACTCTTAAGACATCCTTGGCAGTGTCGTTAAGCCTCGCCAAAGAGCAGGGATGGTGCCATTTACAGCATCATGGAAAAGGCTGGGCCCTCCCATTAGGGTCGGGATCCTAGTTCCACACTTGGCTGATGGATGTACTCGATCATGTGCATGCTAGAGTCCAGCCAGGTGTCCTGTCCAGTGCTCTCCCTGTGGTGGGGGAATGATCGTTTGCTCTGTGAGAAGCAGGCAAATGGAACACAGCAGGTTTCCTGATGCTGGTTCTCCAGAAACAAGGGCAGGAGCAGGAGCTGCCTGATCAGGTGCTACCTGCAACATCACCTGGTTAAAATGAGGGTGGCCATGGGCTGATGGTCCCCATGACCCCCGGGAACCAGGTGACATCTACAGACAAGGCCCTGAGGAAACCTCACCAATGTCCAAAGGCCATGAGCCTGAAGCAGTGACACCACCACCTGGCTGCTTCCAGCCATCATTCCAACCTCCAGCCAGGGCCCCCACATCTGTCCTTTCAGGAAAGGGGTGTTTCCCGATCGTGGGGACCCCTGGCACCCCAGAGAGAGAAATAGGAGATTAAAGTTTCTTCTCTTCCTGCATATTTTACACCTCTGTTCTTCCGGCAAGTGAAGGGTGGCAGGGGGCCTGATCATTTTTGATCACCTTTTCCTTTTGAGGTGTTAGGGATGGAACCAAGGGCCCTGCCTGTGCCAGGCAAGTGCTCTGCCACCAAGCCACATCCCAGCCTGAGGACTTTTGTCTCTCGTCTGTGAATGACCCAGAAGCAGCTCAGCGGGACCATGCGGGACTGGAGCCCACGTCCCGGATACGTGACTCCCACAGTACTTCCCTCTGCCTCAGCCCGCCCCTACGCCTGCACCTTTTGGGCTCAGCATCTCAGTGGGGGTTCCTGTCCAGGGCAGGAGAGGGGATGCTGTGAGCAGAGGTGCAGACATCAGGGGCCATCACAGCGGGAGAATTGTAAGCCCCTGGATCCCCACCAAAGCCATGCCGACGAATTTACAGACAGAGGCTGGCTTCAGGGATCCAGCATTTGACAGGGGACAAAGCACCCAAGTTGGAAGAGGTCTTAGAGGCCATCTACCTCCTCCTCCTCCCCTAGTTCAGGACGAGCTGAGACCTCCAAACTCCACACTGGCCCTGGGTTGTTTCTCTGATGGTAGTGGTGGGCGCGGGGGACAGTGGTGGGACGGGTACTCTTGGTGCCTCACTGGGCCTCATCCATGCCCATAGGCCCTCGCCGGCAGTCGCTGGAGCCTGGAGTGGTAGGAAGGGCCTCACAGCACCAAAGGCCAGGTGCCTGCTGATGAGTCTGTCTTAGGCCCACGTGTCCCTCTGGTACTTGGCAGGACACAGAGAGGTTCCAGGCCCGCAGTCAGGGGCTGGAGAAGAAACTGTTTGCCAAGGAGCAGGAGCTGGAGCGACTCAACCAGAAGCAGAAAAAGGTAGGCTCTGCCATTGTCCTGAAGCCCCAGCTCTCGTCCACCTGCATCTCTGGCTCTCACCCACTTGCCTTGCCACTCACAAAGCTTTTTCTTTACTCTGAGAAGAGCCACGGGGCTCGACAAGGCAGTGTTTAAAGTCAGGGCAGTCCCCAGGAAGCTGCTTCTCCATTGCCAGGTGTTTGACTTGGGAAAGCTGCCCCCAGCCCCCACAAGGCATCTCAGGGTTCTCCTACAGTGGCACCGGGGCCACGGGACGCCCACACTGAGCCTGCTTCTGGCCGCCTGGGTCAGGTCAGAAGGAGCTTGGAGGCACAGGGAGCTGGGCAGTCACTGGCATTCAGAGGAGGCTGTGGACCAGTCCCTTCCTCCAGGATGGTCAGGGATGCATCCGGCTGGACAGGGCTTCTCAGAGGCTGGCACATCCCTCCCAGGTGACCCAGGCCTGGACAAGGCTTCCCAGCCCCTTTGTGCTGGTCCTCATTCCCCCGGATGGGTGCAGGCCACAGACCCCTTTCTTAGGCTGCCTGAGCTCCAGGCCAGGCAGGACTGCTGGCCTCAGGAAGACTGATTGCCCGGGTAGTGCCATGCCCGCTGGCCTCCTCTCTGAAGCCAGGACTCGTGGGCTGGGCTGGGCAGGGCCACCTCCTGTGTCCTTTCACCTGGTCCCGGGAGGGCCCAGCCCCAGGAGAGCCGCCCAGACGTTGCTTCCCTGGGACAGAGAGAGCTATCTTTGGCAGCACATTAAAATAAGCTTGACGAGACCTCAGCAGAGGCTGGGGACCGGCCTGATACTGCTGCTGCCTGGGATTTGGATTTCAGTTCTTTTCTCTCTGCGGTGTCAACTGCGGGATCTGCCTGCTGCCTTCCTGTTTCCAATCCACATTTGCACCTCGCTTCTGCTTGCCTCCTCACTATCATGCATTAAATTCTTAGCAGTGAGATTTATCCCTCGTATGAATAATTGCCACTCGATTTAATTACTGCACGCTTGCCTGATTACACAGGAGCCTCTTGAGAACCACACGAAACCCTTGCTGTCGCTTTCTCCTCCCCTTACCAGCCACGTTCACTAAGTGAAATTTATTATGATCGTTTGCCTTGGTGTGGTTCTTCCTCTACTGAGAGGATTGGAGTCCTGCAATGCAGCATCACAAGAAAAAGCTGTAGCCACCAAAATGTGGGTTTTTAGTTGCTTTGGGGACAGAAGAAAACATATAGGGCTTGTTTGATGGGCTTTAGTTATTCCCTAAGAATTTACAGGGCTTCTGGTTGCCATACAAAGATCTTTTTTATGTTTTAAGATTAAAGAAAGTGGACTTATTTAGCTGAGAGGAGGTAAGGGAATAAATAAAGTTGCTGTCACCGTCCACAGTTGGGAAGGCTGGCTTCAGAAAGAAGGGCACTTAGCCATTCCCCGTCCCCATCAAGGACCACGGGGAGGAAATTGGCTGAGGACTAAAAGGCGGAGGGTAGATTGCAAGACACTCTGACTTCAGGAAGAGAGATGCATGTGGATGGTGGGGTTTCCTTTGCTAGTGGTGCTTTTGTCATTTGTGGCTCTGGGCATGGAGCCCATGGCCAGGCAGGGGTTGGCAAGCACTCTGCCCCTGAGCTGCACCCCACCGCGTGGTCCTGTGGAGTGGGCAGCTCCCCCAGCCTGTTCAGTGAGTCCGAGGCAGAGAAGAAGAGAGGCGAGGAGATGAGCTCTGAAGCCTCCCTCCTGCCTGCAGAGCGTCTGGGTAACCAGAAGGAATAGGCCAGTGCTGGTTTCAGCTTGAGGGCAGGGTCAGTCCTGCCCTTCCACAGGGAGAGCAAGGAGAGGGCAGGCTGGCCAGCCTGCCTTCCCTGGTGGTCACTCCTCACTCCCCTCTCCCTGCTGCTTTCCAGCTGGAAGGCCAGTGCATGGCCCTACACAATGACAAGCATGAGACCAAGGCTGAGAACACCAAGTTGAAGCTCACAAACCAAGAGCTGGCACAGGAGCTGGAACGGGTCTCAAGGGAGCTGCAGGATGCCCAGCAGCAACTGGAGAGCCTCCAGCAAGAGGCCTGCAGGCTGCACCAGGAGAAGGAGATGTGAGTTGGGCCTCAACCCTCTGCCTGGAGCTGCGGGCACGCTGTCCACTTCCAGACACTGCCCTGCCTGGGACCTGGGTGTGGGCCCATTGCTCCCAGGGCTTTTAACCCTCTTCTGGATTCTGAGACTGCCGAGCGCTGCCTGGGACTGATGAGAGCTAGGTAACCCTGGTCTCAGGAAATAGGTCACGTGGTTGGAAAGCATGCTGTCCATCAGCAGACGCTTGGTAGCCTGAGACCAAGTGCTGAGTAAGTGGAGCTCAGATGATGGCCACAGTTGTAAGACCTGGGGAGCAGGAGGAGGGGAGCAGACACTTCTGCCTTGGTAGATGACCTGGCAGGCTTGTGGCAGGGCTCGACTCATCTCTCCAGCTCTGTCTGTCTTTCCAGCAGTGTTTTCCTCTGAGACTGGGCCCCAGGGTGCAGGCTGGCTTGCTGTGAAGGTGCTCTTGGGCCAGGTCTGCTGGCTGGGCCAAGGCCTAGAGGGCTGGAGTCTGCTGTTGATCTTGTCTGGGGAGCACGAGGTGCGCAGTCTGAAGCCCAGGGCAGGAAATGTCAGGATTTGTCCACCATTCACCTGGGTATGGCTACTGTAAATCTCCATGCCTGGTACCACATCTGGCTTCGACATGTCTCCTTTAAGTCCAGGATTCAGCAGCCTCTCGAGTGACTTGCTAGCATCTTGCTGCTGCTGGTACCATTGTTCTCAACTTTGATTCATAGGGACAGAAACTGAGGTTCAGAAGTTTTGAGCAGCAGCCCAGGATGCTCAGTGCTTGCTTGATGACCCTAGAGTATAAGGAGCCAGCCGGAAGTACAAGTTCGCTTTCACTCTGTCCCCTCAGTCTCTCATGACTTTGTCCTTATGCAGAGTCTTGGAGTGGCCAACCTGAAGGTGCCTGGATGCCGATGTCTGACTGCAGGGGGGATGTGGCGCTCCCCAGTGCTCAGTGCCTGCTCGGCTTAGGTGTCCTCTGCTCTGTCTGACCCAGGCCCAGGCCTAACCAGAGGCCCAGGTCTGTTCCCGCATGGGTCCCACACCCCTGGGTGGGTGGCCAAGGCAACAGGCAGGAAGCGTATCCAGACTGGGAATCTGACCTGGGTAAGATATTTCCAGCTTAAAGGAAAGGAGGAGATTCCCCAAACAAAATCAGGCCCCTCTGTCCCAATTCTTGGGTGGCCACTTGTGGAAAGAACGTGTTTTTCACTGTGAGCAAGCAAATCCTCAACGTCCACAGGGCGACAAGGTTCAGGTGCTTAACTTTACAAACAGAATTAAGGATTCCAGCTCTTTAAATTCAGTCAAGCTCTTAAAGCTGCAAACATCTGAAGACAGGAGAATTAGGATGGCAAGCAGGAATCAACAGCACTGAGGGTGGTGCTCAGCACAAGGATGGAGGATGAAGCCTTCTGAGGTCTCAGCTTAATTAACTAAGCCAGGGCTGCAGCCTCGAGGGGCGGGGGGAGGGGGCAGGGGGACGGGGGCAGGGGGTGGGACCCACAAGCTGCACTGGCATCAGAGCATCTGTGTGCAAAGCCCAGGTGGCTTGGAGGGCGTATCCCACCTAGGGAAGTGGGACCAACTTCCTCCCCCCATGGAATCACAGAGCCACTACTGGCAGGACCCGAATGTTCACTCTGCTGCGTTCATTTTGTCCAGGGAGAAACTGAGGCTGAGAGTTGCAGGGACTGACCCAGAGCCACACAGTGGGGCCCTGCCAGAGCCTGGGACACTCAGTCCTTTCGATGTGCCTGCACATCCCGAGCCGCTGCAGAGCAGCTGGGAGAGTAGAGGGGAAGTAGGAAGTAAACAGACTTAGTCATTTATCAGCAAGAGCTCTGGATGGGCAAAATTAATTCTCCTGTTGTCTGAGGATGCTCAAGTAGGAGAACTAGATCTCCAGATGCGATAAAGAAAGAACCCGCAAGCAGAGATAATAGAGAGGTGGAGGTTGGTGGAGAAGCAGCAGCGCGTTTTTAATTTACTTTTATTTTGATGGGTGGTTTTTGGCGAGGTTCGGCAGATGAATGTTGAGAATGGTCCGCCCCAGCCATGACCTCAGCCCCTGTCACCTAGGCCCAGTCAGTGTGGCACAGCGTACTCGTGCAGTGCGCGTGCACACACTCATGCAGTTTGCTTTACAAAACAGCAGCAGAGCAAGCCCACTGCTCTGCTTTCGCTGTGTGTTTTTCCTTGCCGATATATTTTGTAGAGTGTTCCATGTTTCATCTCCTGCTAAAAACAAACCCACCAGCTCTTCCCTAAAGGGAACCATAAACCTCTCACCAATGACCACCTCAACCTGGGGGGCCTACTGGGAATAGAAGCTCTGGGTTAGAGGACCCTGAGGCCCTTCATCAGTGAAGCCTTCCCTTTTGCCAGCACAAATCCGTGTACGTCTGAGTAGATGCACGGGTGTTTCTGTGTATATGTCACACACGTGAGTGTGGCCCTGTGGCTCCTTCTGGCCACTGGTGCCACAAACAGGACAGAGGAGACCCTGAAGGCCTGCGATGAGAAGCTGGCCTTCAGCCCCACCCTGAGAACCCAGCCTGGGCTGTGCGCTGAGCAACTCTCCGAGCAGGGAGAGAGGCTGGGCGGCTTGGTAGCTGATGTGCTGGTCACATAGGCCCAGCAGGGTGGGCACCCACTCGGTAATGGGACATACAATTGGTAATCAAACAATGGCTCTCCAGGCGGGCTCCAGGGAAGCCAGGCTTCATTAGGGTCTGAAATGCGCTCGGGATGGTTCAGCCTGTCCTTGTCCCAGAGCAAATCCACCATCATTCTGTAAAGGGAAGAGAAGAACACAGGAGCCTCGCAGGGAGCTCGATTCTTAGGCGCTGGCAGAGGCCCGGACCCAGCCTGCTGGTGCTGCCAGCACCCCCAGGCCGGGACACTGGTGTGACAAGGGACTCATAACCCACAGTGCCCTCTGGGCGTGGCTGCCCTGGACTGAGGGCTGGGCCTTAGCTCCTCTGCGTGGGACCAGGGCAGCAGGGGTGTTTCTAGGCCTTGGCTTAGAGCCAGAGCTGGAAGTAGCTGGAAGTGCAGGGTGGAGCAGGCTCACACTGCGCCCTGTTCTGCTTGCTTCTCCCCTGCTTCCCCAGCTGTCCTGAAGGCCTCCTCTCTGTCCTCTCCTTCCCTCCCTTTCTCCTTTCTTCTTGTGCATTCTGGGCTGGGCCTGTGCCAGGCGTGGTGTTGAAGGGCAGAGCACAGCACTGCGCCCTGTGCCACCCTGAGCCACCCTGGGCCACCCTGCGTCACCCTATAGATATGGGCAGTTGATACACTCACTCTCTACATTATAGCAAGAGAGAGGAAATCCTGTCAACAGTGGGAAATTCCAGATACCTAGGAACAGTTTGGGGACTTTGAGGGGAGGGGAGGGACAATTCTCTCAGGTTGTCTGAAGACAGGCCAGCCCGTGTGGATGTGTACGGGGAGAGGGTGGTGCAGCCCTCTCCAGCCCAGGATGCACAAGAAGATTGATTTCTGTCCTTGGAGCTGAGGTCAGCAGGCTGGTTGGAGCCCGGGACAGCCACTCGGGCAGGAGGGCTGTGGAGCAGGCTCTGGAAGCCATGGTTTAGAGGAGGCTGGGGGTCAGTGTGCGTGTCTACAGCACCGAGCTTCCTGTCTGTGTCCACATGGTGGGGCTGTCTGCAACCCCGGCTGAGCTGACTCCCCACCCACCCCCACGGCCCTCATCACTCTGTCTGCTGCTCCCCAGGGAGGTGTACCGCGTGACAGAGAGTCTGCAGCGGGAAAAGTCGGGGCTCCTGAAGCAGCTGGATTTCCTAAGGTAGGTCAGGATGTGTCCAGATGCCTTGGTTGGAAGGGCACCTGAGGTTAAGACATCACCCCTCCCTGGTCCCCAGTGTGTGATTAGGCCACTGAGTGCCACTCCCTTGGGTGCTTGCTGCATTTACACACATGCCTTCATCCCTCTACAGTTTGTGCTGTTTACACAACTCCACCTCATTCTTAGTGTCTTGCATGGTACCTGCGCAGGTAGGGCCCCACCTGGATTTATTGAGCACCTACTCTATGCCTGTTGTATTATCTCCTTTGCCTTCAGCCAGACTATTAGGTAAGTAGAGTGACTGTTAGGACAGGAAGTAGCTGAGAAGGAAGCTGACGTTAGTAACTTGCTACAAGCAGCTCCTCAGGAATGAGCCAGGACTGAGATCCTTGGCTGACTCCTTTGTACTCAGCCTACTCCACTCCTGTTTTCAGGATGAATAAACAAATCACAAACAGCAAACAGCACAAGGAAGGAGTTTCCTCAGCTTTCTAAAGTTCACCGAGATAAATTCAAAGTTCACTGGTCTGGAATGTGCTAAAAACAGTAAGCCATGTGGGGAAGGAGGGAATTTTCAGTTTTGCCAGTGAGCTGCATTATGGCTGTTCTGACCCTTGCTGATCACCTCCTGGGTAGTACTGACACACAGAAGGCCTGGGTTCTGATTGTTTGGAATCACTTCCTAGGTACGGCACAGACTTCGGGGGCTTTGTGACAGTGAGGCCACGCCACTGTGTCTGGATCAGTGACGGCCAGGGAAGCAGGAGGGTGAGGCAGTCACTTTCTGACTGTGGAAAGATGGTCTTGGTTCCTAGGCAGGCTTTAGTAAGAGGAGAACCGGATTATAAGGACAAATTATTTATTTGGTTTTCTTTTCATCTGTTGTACTTGGAAGAAAATAAAGGGGCCAACCCCAAGAGAATGCAAAGCAGCACTGCACAGACACTCCCTGGTCTTGCTCAGGCCAGACCTGTGCCGTGGTGAGGTGCTAAGCTGAAGCTGAGATGCCAGGTGCAGGAGGCCGCCGGGCTAGCTTTCCCATGGCAGTGAAGTCCTCAGGAACCAAGGGTGGAGGCTGTGCTGGGTGTGGGTGGAGCAGGGCGGGCAGCGGGAAAGGGGGGGGGGTGCGGGATGACAGCTGGAAGGTGGCAGGAGAGCTGGGCTCCACACAAGCAGGAGCACATTTTGGGGTACGAGGTTAGGAGTGTGCACTTCGGAGCAAGAGCTGACTGGAAACCTTTTGGCAGATGACGGGGTCTGAGCTCCCTCCAGCCCGGGCACAGGCCTCTGAGAATGAGATGATGTCCCACAGCTGTGACATGTGAAAAGAGACACCCCTGGCATTCCTGTGGCTGCTGCAGGGACAGCTCAGCACCCCAGGTCCCCCGAGTCCTCGCCTGGGAATGGGGCTGCTGACTTACCCCCCACCCCCTCGACCAGTTCCTTCTGCACGAGGGCTTCCTCTGCTCTTCTGGGCTTCTGGAACCCTCAGCCCCTAGACTCACCTGGTTGTTATCCCTGAGATGTGCCTGACACTAGTCCCAGAGCACGTGCCTGGACCTAGGAGCGCCCATTGAGTGGCTGCACTGTGGTGACCAGGGCCTGACCTGCATGGCCTCCCTTCCTCTTCAGAAGTATGGCTTGGCTCAGAGGCCACCAGCCTGAAAGTCTGAATCACAGAGCTGCACATATTTCATGGTTTCCCAGTCTCTTGCATTAGTGGGTAAGATTCTGACTCCTTACCGGTCCTCTCCCACCCACCCTGTCTTCAGACCTCAGCCCCTTCCTGGCCTTGGGCTTAGACTCCGACTCCACTGGAAGCTGTACCTGGGAGCTTGACCTGTGCCGGCCTGGGCCCAATCTCTGCCCTCTGTGCTGCAGTGGGGGACCAACCTGGGCTCCTACAAAGGCCACCCTGCCCTGCTCTGTGCCAGGCTCCGGACTGATCTGTCCCTCTAACGTCTATGCTCACACTCCTCCTCGGTCCATTCCTTCTCTGTCAGAGGCACCCACTGTAATGTTCCATACCTGTCCCCTGTTGTCTTCACTTCTCCGTCCAGCTGCTCTGCATTTCTTCCAGCCCTTGACCACAGAACTTCCAGAAGAGTCATTTACCTTCCCTGTCTCCATGTCCTTTTGATATGGGAGAAGAGATGTAACTTCTAAACTTGCTAGATATCTGAAACGTGAGTTTGTGTTCTCTAAAATCGAAGAATGAATTCTAGGAACAATGGAGGTTAAGAGTAGGAAAAATTGATTGAGGGAAAGAAAGCTTCTGCCTAAGAGAGACAGAAGGGGGACTGGAAAGTGGGTTGCCGCCCACCCCACTCTTCAAAGGTGTTTTCTACAGCAAAGCCATGCGGTGAGGCAGGTACACAGTGGGGCAAAACTATAGGACCCAGTGGAAATTTACAAGGTGGGCATGAGGTGGGACAAAACCATGACCAACCAGTAAGATCACAAGTACAGTCACCCAGGTAACATTGATTAAATGGGAGTCAATGGGAAGACAAGTCACGTACAAGGAATTTCCCATTTAGAATATCAGTCACTGTTATCTATCCCCAGGGGAGGTAGTTTCTTTTTATAATGCCAACCAGTGAATGTGCCTCAATTGTTCTCCATGTTGGTTCCTTGCTGTGTTGGCTCCTGGAGGGGAGGCCCTGTCTACCTGCAACAAGATATCTAATTAACTTACCTAGCTGCAATACTTTCTCTACACTCCCCACCCTCTAGCTGGGCTTTCTGGCCACTGTCCCACTGAAACAGTTTCTGTCCACTCGGCCATGACCTCCAATCCACCTCACCACAGCCACCAGTCCACTCTAGGGGCCTCGCCCTTGTCCCCAGAAGTCACCAGGTGTCCTGTCAGAGCCAGAGTCAGATCATGACACCCTCTGCAATCCACTCCATGGTTTCCTACCTCATTTGGAACAAAATTGAACCACTTCCAGTGATCCAGGAAGAAGTGAATGAGAAGGTCTCCATCACCCCCTTTTTCTCTTACCTCCTCTCTTCATTCCACTCCATTTGAGCACCTTACTTCTCCTGTTTCTCGGGGACACCAGCTGTGCCCCAGTCCAAGCCTTGCCTTGCTCTCCTCTGCCTGGACCGCTCTTCCCCAGACCTGCCTGCCTGTTTTCTCCTCCTTCAGTCTCTGTTTAGATATGGCCTTTTCAGCAAGGCCTTGCCTGGTCACACTGATGGAAGTCGCCTCTTCTTCCATGTCCCTGCTTTATGTTTTCTGAAGCAATGATCCCTTGCTTACATCCAAGTCCCCTAGGCAGGTACTTTGTCTTTTGTTCAGAAGTGTGTCCCTGAGAGCCTGGCAAGTGCTCCGGATCCCTGAGTGGAGCCTGCATGCACACTTGAACGGATGCTTCAGAGGGGTCCCCACAGCAAGCCTGAGGGGAGAGCACCCCCTAGTGACAAATGCCATGCATGGCCTTGCCTTGCCGGCCCGCCTCTGAGCTGATTACAAACCATCCTCAGAGACTCCACACACTGGTGAGGCCTTCCACACTAGGCCAGGCCCGGCACCCATCTGAGCAATAAATGGCAGCTGCTGGATCTGCAGACTTGTATTTGAATAGCTTCCCCTTTCCTGTCCACAGGGAGAGGAACAAACACCTCCAGGACGAGCGGGACGTAAGCTTTCAGGTCAGTGGCTGGTGTTCCCTTTGGGGTGGGTGGGGCAGTGGAGACAAGGACAGCAATCCAAGGGAGCCAGATCCGTGCCAAGGCTGCAGGAGACTGTCCTGACACTTGGGATGTGTTTGCTCTTCGGGTGCAAGACGATGTGACAGATGTTTGGCAAACAACACAACAGCCGGGTGGCTCACAGGGGTGACCTGGTGGGTCTCCATGAAGTGACACACCTTCCTCTTGGTACAGCAGGAAAACACCTCTGGAAGGGCCATACCTTCTTTGGCTGCTGAGACAACAGTCCCATCTGGGAGGTGGCACAGCTGAAATGTCACTCTAACTTTGCTCAGCTTTCATTTCATTTAAAACTGCATCTCTTGATGAAAATTTTGCGTTTTTACACAGTCATGAAACAAATTAGCTGTTTACATAGTTGATTTTATGTAAATTTTTTTCTACTTTATAGGGACTCCTCCTCTTCTGTACCTGAGCACCATGCCTATTTATTTCTCCAAATAGCTGGAAAGGCTTTATTTATTTAGATGTCTTCATTGTGGCCCATGGTGAACAAAATCTAGGATTCCACGCTCCTCTGCATCTTCTCCATCTTCCCCTTTACCAGGACCAACTGGGTGCTCTGAAGGAAGAAAAATGGGACAGGATGGATTGATGTGGCTTCCCTTTACAGGGTTATCTTACCATGAGTTGTGGGTGTGTCCCTGGACAGGTCATGAGTCACTTGCGACCACAATCCCTGCTGTCACATGAGGAAGGGAGGTCCTTGTTCTGTTTCCCCCATTATAGAGATTTTAGGGAAAAGCTGTTGTGAAGAGGGTGATATGCACTGCACCCTTGTCTAGACGGTAGCCTGAACGTGGTTGGCCTCAGGCAGCTAGGTTGCCCTGACTTGAGCCTCACTGGAGACTCCTGAAACATTACTGGAAACCTCTGCAGTAGGCTCCAGTCTCCTACTCAGTGTATGACACAGGCCCAAGGGAAAGAAATTGAAAGACATAACTAAGAGAGACAGAAAGCAGGGGCCAGGATGACCAATGCCAGAACAACTGACAAAGGCACTGGCCAGTCCAAGCCACTGATTTTTATTGGTAATCAGTTGGGGTAAAAGCGAGTGTTCAAGAGCAGGACCATGTGTGAGGATGTGCAGCTGTGCAGTTTCTATGGAAATTAATGTAAGCAAGGCTCATAAAAGACAAGACAAAGCATTCTGGAATTAGGAACAAAATAGACAAAATATATGGTTGTAATTAAAACATTGTCCTTCTAGTCTGAAGGTTTTAGTTGTGGGAACAGAATTTGGGTGCGACTTACTCTGACCGTGGCACTTAGGCTTCAGCCAGACTCACTTCCATACACAAGCCAGTCGTGGGGTTAACTTTTTCTGCCTGCACTGCCTACAGCCTGCATTGGGCATAATCAGTCTTGCGGTCTCCTGCAGGCCTGACCTGGTTTAAACTGTGAGGACCTGGGAGAGCGGCCACACCGCCTTCTGTGTCAGCACCAGCAGCAAGCATTTGTGCTGCCCACCCCTGTGCACCACCCAGGCGAGGCTTAGGCCTACACGTGCTTGACGATGAGAGTGGTTGTAATTTATTTCAGAAGTGAGTCTGGCTTTTTGTTTAGCTTCCAACCAAATGTCATCCTAATCCCTTCACCCTACTTCCTTTCACCTGCCAAACTCATTCTGCTTTGAAAGGGAGATAGAGTGAAGAACTCCAGTGGGGACTGAAGAAAGAGGCATAAAGTCCTGTTGATATAGAATATAATTACAGATTCATCTGGAACCATTAAAGCCATAGCTTCAGGGGCCCTGGAGGCTCCAACTCTTCCTCCCCTCGTTAGGGATCATGGAGAAGCACACCGGTGACTAGCGAGAGGTTCTTTATGTGATCTGACCCCCTTTCCTCTCCCTGAGGAGATCTGTTAGGGAGCCTTGGCAGCAGGGTTTAAGGCCCTGCTCCACAGATGTCGGAGCCATTTATCTACACCCAGGCTACTTCCCCCAAAGGCTGAAAAGCTTGCACTAGCACAGGATGTGGACAAGGCACTGGGTTACGTGGCCTTCTGGCCTGCCCTTTTTCTCATTGTATCCAGGGCTCTGGAAATAAAGAGGGACTAGAGCTACACAGATGAGTGTGATTTAAAATGCATGGAAGCTTTTAATGCCAATAAGTGTTTTTTCTTATGCACGAAGCATCTACCTTTTCTTTGTTCTCTTGCAAACTATCAGTGTCTCTATGAAGAGTAACATGGCAGACCCAAGCCCTGTACTAGGTATTTGTTCCTTGGATTCAGTTATGAGAAAGGAGGTGGAGGAATGGGTGAAGTGAAAGGGGAGAGTGGGTGAGTGGTAGCAGGCAGACGAGCACCCTGATGGCTCCTGATAAAACCTGCCTAGAAAGCAGGAATGCAGAGCCTTGTTCTGCTCAGACACTGGGGCCAATCCACAGGTATACATCAGAGGGCATTTGTATTTCTGCAGAAAGATAAGGCAGCCCAGGCAAACACAGCTGCTTCCAAGGCAAGCTGGAAACAGAGATCTGGCTCCGTGATTGGCAAATATGTGGAGAGCAGAGTGGTTCTTAGAAGGTAAGTCATGACTGCTCATCCTCATTCCTCTCCTCCTGCTTGGGAGTTGGCCCTGGGCTGCACTCAGCACAGACTGGGCCCTGAGATGTGGCCCTGGAGGGGGCTTCTGAGCTCAGCTGCTCTCACTGCCTTGGAAGCTTGGGGGACATGACCCTCCCCACTGTGACATCCATGCTGGGGGAGACTACCTAGAGGAAACCCCAGGATAGCCCACAGTCTTCTAAAGCTGGCCTCCTCGTCTGCTGCGGGTGTGCAGAGCGGGAGGAAGAGGAGGGGCCTGGGAAAGAGACAGAGGGCAGGGCTGGGGACTCTGCTGCCTGCTGAGTGCTGAGCAGAACCTATGTGCCAGCTTTTTCAGGAATCTGACTATCTTGACTATGAAGGTTAATTAAAGATTCTATGGGGTCTGACCGGATGAATTCTTTATAGACAGGATCGGGACTTGTGCTTGACAGGTTGTTTCCCAGGTTTGTATTTAGCTCAAATGCAACATGATTTGCTGCTGTGGGACAGCACATGATTCAGTCTGAGAACCCAGTGTCCACCTGTGGCTCATGCATGCACAGTGCCCCTGCCCTGTCCTGTTGGGCATGTGCTCTGCCCACAATGGTCACAGAGCGGTGGAGGCCCCAAGGAGTCAGACCCAGGGGAAGGCGTGTGACCTGCTCCTGTGGAAGACTGCAGGCACAAAATTTAAAAATCTGCAAAGGAAATTGACTTTGGGGATGTGTATGAGCTCATCAGGAAATCTTTGGGTCTGATCATCATAAGTTCCATCTCTAAATAGCCAAATAATGAGATACAACTGGAAGCCAAGTCTCTACAATAGTAGGTGGCCTGTTGGTTCCACCACACTGAGTGAGTCTGTTGATTGATTCCACAGGCACTGATACTGACTCTGTGCCAGGCATACTTTTGAATTTTACGAAGACTTGAAAGATGAATTGGACATGGCTCCCACTGTTAATGTCTATTATCAAATGCTTGTTCAATGTGGAGGTTGTCTGAGGCGTGGACTATGTGCTGGATGCGTGGAGTGAGTGTGTGAAATGTACCCATCTCCCCCTAGTGATTTAGCCCTGAACAGAAGAAACAGACAGCAATCCAGTAAGCAACAAATCCTGAGCTCCACCTCCTAACACTGGCTAGGCAGAAGTGGCTGCTCTCTCTGCTGGTGCTGGAGAGCATTTGGTGGCAAAACTGAAAATGAACTTGGTCAGCTAAGCTGAGGGCATTATAGAATATCAACAGTGCTTAAGAATTTCCCAAATACGAAGCCCTTTCCAAGAAATGCTTCCTTTTAGTGCCTATCTAAGTGGCTATTTTGTTTATGGTTGCAAAGTCTTTGGGAAGAACATGCTACGTGTGTGGTGCGCATGTTGCACAGACATGGCCCCCTTGCCTGGGCAAGCATAGTGAAATGGTGGGAACACTGGCCACCTGGCAGTTTCCAGGCTTGAGAGTGCAGGTAGGAAGTGTGCTGGAAAGAAGCCAGCTGGCTGTTACTGAAAACTGTGATTTGTATAAGTAAAGGGGAAGGCGTGTGGATTGCTACAAATCCATTTATTTTATATCAAGAGATCCAAACAAATTCACTATTGTTGTGAGCAAGCACTGCATCTTAATTGATCTTTCAGAATTGCAATTAACCTTGGAATGGTGGCAGTTGCAGTTGGTTTTCTTTTTCCTCCCTATTGTTGGTCCTTAGGAGCAATAAATAGTATAAGGCAGGGGTTAAAGTAAAGGGTGTTTCTGTGTTCTGTATATTCTATGTCCTTCGCTAAATTTCTTTCTCCCTTGGTCCTGTCACCCCACTACTTCATCTCTGTTGCATTTGCTTTTCTAATCTGTGTGTGTGTGTGTGTGTGTGTGTGTGTGTGTGTATGGGGGTGGGTGGAGGGAGATTGATTCAGGCTTGGATGTAAGGTCCCGCCATCCTGCCTGTCAGACTTTCGTTGCCATTCACAATTCTCAGCTTCAGTTTTTCAGAGACCTAGAGGGAGCTCCCTTGCTCAGGACGGTCAGTGAAGGCTTTGTGTTCCAAACATCCTGACAGTGCCACCTGGGCTGGTGCACATCCTAGGTACCCAGTTTTTCCTGCCTCCCACTGCTCTGCTTTGCTCTTCACGCTCAGATGGGTCAGGAAACAAGCATCCTCTCAGGTTTCTGAGGCCACTTACTCCTAAGTGTGATTTCTAGGGACAGAAAGAGAAAAGGAAAGGGAGGAGAGGTGGGTAGGTGTCCTCAACTGCCTCTGAGAAGCAGACACCTGCCGCAAGAGGACGGTGTTCCCCGGAGACACGGCGCCCCACACTGCGGAGGGCGCTGGGTGAACAGGCCTGTGACTGCCTTGTTGCAGTTGTGAACAGGCAGAGCAGATGGGCTACCTTTGCAGTTCTGTCTCAGTTTCCTCAGTGAGAAGCCCAAGGCTTGCAGAGTGGAGGTGTCCTACCCAGGAAGCAGTTTATCAGGGCTGGTGCTGGGAGCAGAGCAGTCTGCCTGCCTGCCAGCCAAAGGCTTTGCTGCCTTTACTTTTCCTTCATAGCCCTCTCCGAATTAGTAAAAATGTACTTATTTTTGTCCTTAATGCTTTAGACCTCACGTTAGCCAGCTTTCCATCTCTGTGACAAAATACCTGAGAAAAACAGCTTACAGAAGAGAAACAACTTCCCTAGGTTTCGGTCCATGGTCAGACGGCTGGCTCCAAAGCAGAAGCATTGTGGCAGAAGGGCATGGTGAGGAGAGCTGTTCCCCTCCTGGCAACCAGGAGGCAGAAAGAGGGAAGGAGCCAGGCAGGAAGGGGCTGGGGCAAGGTGGAGCCTTTGTCCATGGCCTGCTTCCTCCAAGGCCACGCCACCCAGCAGCCCACTCTGCTGGGAACCTTTCACTGGGTGAATCAGCTGATGAGGGTGATACCTTCCCGATCCAGTCACCCTTTAGACCCCAACTCAAGAAGCTGCCTTGGGGAGTGAGCCCTCAGTGGATGAGTCTTTGGGGTACACTCTAATTCCAAACCGTAAGAGATCCCCCTGAGCCCAGCGTACATGTGGACAGGGCCTGTGCCCATCTGTCGTGGCTTGACCTGCAGTCGTCCTGGTTGTAATCTTCACATCATCCTCATTCTCATCACAGGCACTTAGTGTTAGGAATGCTGGATCAGTTGTTCTCTTTCCTGCATTTCACTCTCTTCCAAGGCCTGGCACTCTTCAGCTATGTTTGTCACAAGACATACTCTGTAATGTAGGGTGTTCCCCTGACTTGTGTTTCTTTCTCATCTGCACAGCCAGTCCGAGGAGGAGGAGGAAGATGTGTTCTGCGCTCTGAGAAGGAAGAGCTCCCTGGGTCTGAGTGCGTATCCCCTCACAGAAGAGGAGTCAGGGCCGGGCCAGCCAGAGGCTGGGGCTCCACACTGCCCAGCCCTCCGCAGGATCATCTCCATCGAGGAGGACCCCCTGCCTCAGCTCCTGGACAGCAGCCCCCAGCAACCCCCGAGCAAGTGCCCGGAACAGGAGGGAGCCTCCAGCAGGGGGGCAGAGGGACCAGTCCAGCAGGCCGCACCCTCAGCACTCTACCCCTCATCTCCCCGAGGGCAGCCTGTGGGAAAAGAAGCCCGCTGTCAGGTAGGGGGTCAGTCCACCTGGGCTGCGCACGCCGCTCTGTGATCTCTCCTTGCCTCTGAGCCCAGGAGTCCCACAGGGCCCTCGGGGGTTTGCACACAGGTCCCGGGATATGCCACTTTCCTTCTTCCAAAGGCCTCCTCCCCTGCTTGGCCCAGTGTCGGGGGACGAGATGTGGGGGACTGATGAAGTCTCCTGGCAACCTCCCTCTGCTGTGGGCCCCCTTGCCACCCTGTGTGTGCTCTTTTCTGACTCAGATCCAAAGCATTTGTTGAGTGGCTACTTAAGACAGGCTTTCTCTGGGCTCGTACCATGAAATGTCAGATGCTTTCAAAGCTGCACATGTGAGTGTTCTCAGCAGGGCCGGGCCCGGCCCTGCTGCAAAGATTGTGCACCCTCACTTTCCGCCGTTTTCAGCCAGTCAGCCTTCATGCCCAATTCCCTGCCTGTTCCTCCCTTCAGAGAGACTTTGCTCCTCCTGCCAGGCCTTCCTGCAAATTCTGTGGGAGACAGGAGACCATACAGATTCTTCCTCTGGCTCAAGGTAGTGATATCCCTCCCTCATCTGTGATCCAGGCCTTGCAGCAGGCTGCTCAGGCCCTCAGCCTCTACCTGCCCTTCTGAGCATCCAGGACGGGGTGCAGGAAGCTCTGGCCCTGCACACCGTGCAGCCCGGTGGAGCTGAGCCATGGCCACCACAAGTCCCTCCCTGGCCATAGCTGCTGGTTCCTGGTGCAGTGGAGTTGTGCATACAGGTCCTCCTGTGAGCACCCCATGAAGGGAGAAGGTGGAGAGCAGAGCACCCCTGGGTGGCTGGGCAGCACAGCACGGTCGTAACTGGGCCTGCCAAGCTTCTCACATCTGTGCTGCCCCCGTGAGCCCATGCTGCCATTTGCTGGGAACAGAGCCTGCAGCAGAGAGGAGCCATGGCTTACCGGAAGCCAATGCCAGAGTCAGAGCGGGCCTGCCCATCAGGCCCACACACACAGAGGAAGCACTGGATAGGGGATCAAGAATTAAAATATTCTGTCCTTTAAACCAGCACTTCTGCTTATCACAGTTTTCCCAAAGGAAACAATCAAGACTGGATACAGATGTAAATTAAAAAATGTGTTAATTTATAGTAGCAAACCATTGAAAAACTATCCAGCCATAAGGACATAAATTATATTATTTAATAGAATATTATACAGGTATTAAAAATCACATTTAAAAGCTTTAGTGACCAATGAAATATGTACAATTTATTAATTATGATAAAATAGGATCAAATTACATGTAAAATGATAAAATAAGAAAAATTATGTAGAGTTATATATGATTATGTATATAAAGTAATATACAAATTATATATATTTCAAATTCCCGTAACTAAAAACTCATATATTTACATAGAAACTCTAAAAAAACCCTTATATTTATAAATAAATGAAAAAAAGCAGGAAGAAATGCATCAAAATATAAATAATGACCATTGCAGGGTGTTTGAGTAGATAATGAAGAATTATTTGTCTCCCTACTCTTCTGTAATTCTGTAATTAACAATTAGGATGTATTACTTTTATTTTTTTTAAGTTTTTTAAATTTAAAAAGGCATATAGGAGGGAGGGGGAATACACAGTTCGTGTGGCCCCACTGAGTCCCCTTCCCTGGCCTAGCCCACGGCCAGCTGTGTCCCTGTCCCTGGGAGGGGACAGCAGGCTGAGGGCCTGCCGTGGGGAGGGACACACTGCTCTTCCAAGGTGAGTCCTGACTGAGGCTGGACCAGCTCCCTTTGCTTTGGGGCCTGCAGGGAAAGCGCTCTGCCTGGGAGGGGCAGAGGCCACAGGGCTGAGATCCGGCATCTCTGCCACCACAACCCCTCATCCACCCTGGGCTTCAAATTCTCCACCTGTGCCTCTTCTCAGTTCATGGTGGCTTAGTCTCAAACAAATGACAACTAGAGATACAGGGACAAGAGGCGGGCAGGGCACCAGCATCTTTGTGCATTGTGTGAATAAAGAAAACAGGGCAGGGCATCGTTGTTGAGTGTGGGCTTAAAATTTTTTTTTAGTTTAAATTCTGTACTTGACCTTGAATTCCTTCCTAAGTATTGGGTGGAATTTATTTCTCCATAGAAGTCTGATAATGACTTTTCTCTGAAACTAAGTTCTGCTAATATCAGCTGCCACTCCATTATAGTATTTTCTCAAGGAGAGGAGCTAATTCCCCAAATCCACTCTTAAATAGATGTCAGAAAGGCTCCTCTGACCAGGCAGTGCTGAGCTGAGCCTGCAGGCAGGACTGAAGTGAGCAAGCACTCTCTTGGGAGGGTACATCCACCAGGCAGAAGGAAGGGACCCCAAGCTGCAAGGCAGCCCCTCACATTGTGTCCTACGCACCTTGTGTCCTTGAGGAAGCCCACTCCCTGACTTTAAGAGTCCCTGGCTGATGGGCATCTCAGCTCTCTGCACTGGTCCCTGTGGCTCTGGGGAAGCTGCAATGGACTGTGGGAAGCAGCAGTGGCCTCTGGGAGCTGCAGTGACTTCTGGGAGCCGCAGTGACCTCTGGGAAGCCACAGTGGCCTCTGGTAAGCCATAGTGGCCTCTGGGAAGCCATAGTAGCCAGGCATCATTGCACTCAGATTCCTGAGTGGAGACCAGCTGGTATCCAAGGAAGATGGCCAGAAGCTGAGGAGATAAGAACAAGAAAGCTATATCAGGGAGACAGGGGGTGCCTCCATTCCACCCCAGCTTTCAGTGACAGGGCAGAAAAAGGGGCTTCTCAGCCAGGCCCAGATATCTCTGCCGGGGATGCAGAGGCCTTCTTCTCTCTGGATATCCTTCCTGGGAATTCTGCAGCGGGCCTGTCTACCTGGAGAATCCCTGCCTGCTCTGATTCCTCCCCATTCCCATGGCCCCTCCTCTATGCTCCCACAGCTCTCAGAGCATTATGCTCCGATAATTGTGTACATACTTGCCTCCTCAACTTCCTCAACACCCAGGGCCTGCCTCTCCACCCCAGGGTCACAGCAGGTGGGCAGCATATGGTGGTGGTGGCTGTTTCTCCTCCCTCCTCTGATGTGGGAAAGAGCCCCTGTGCCTGGAGCCCAGTGCTAACTGCATTCTGAGCCTGGGGCAGACTCCCAGGTTTGGGGCTCCCAGGGACCACAGTCAGGACAAGAACGAGGAGTCTTGACAACAGCAGGGCCCAGCGGCCATCCCCGGCGGTGGCCGGACTGTTTGTGATTCACAGGAGGAAAGCTCGCCCTCCACTCCAGACCGACTCTTCAAAATCGTGTTTGTGGGCAACTCTGCGGTGGGCAAGACATCCTTCCTGAGGAGGCTCTGCGAGGACTACTTCTCCCCAGGTGTCGCAGCCACTGTGGGTGAGTCCTCGCCATGGAGGGTTCAGAGCCCTGGGAGGGCCGGTGGTGCTGGCAGGTAGGGATGCTCAGTGTCAGCTGTGCTCGGCAGTGGGCAGGGTGAAGCCCGTGCCTCGAACTGCCAGCTGCTAAGCTCTCTCAGTGGGGTGGGACCCTAGATTTACGGAATTACAGTTGGCACAGATAGATGCATTCGGGAGTCTTCTGTCCCCTTGGGGGCCTGCCCTGCCTCGGGACCCTGACTTTTCATGTTCCTAGGACTGACCAGGGCTCCACCACAGCCCAGTCCCCCTCGTGGTGGGTAGGCCTGCTACTTCCTTGCTTTGCCTGTCCATATGCATATGGTCATGCACGTGTGTGTGCATGTACACACACGCATGTGCATATGTGTGTGCCGATGGGGCACAGAGTCCTGACAGCTCCTTTTCCCCACTGGATGTCATCTGTCCTCCATCCCAGACAGGCTGGGTGACAGCTGGAACTAACTGCAGAAGCTCATCAGGCTCAGTTAGGAGTGGGTGGTCGGGGCTAAATGTGCTCCCGCTCTGGAATGATATTTGTTTAAATAGAGGCTTTAATTGCTTCACCCATAGTTGCACATTGCATTGGAATATGTGGCAAGACCCAAGGGCATGTTGACCTTTTAGCTTCCACCATGCAGAATCACTCAACAGAAAATAAATGCACTGAATGGACACAGTGTGTTGTTTAGCTAAGCTGATAAGTCCACTGAACTTAGTGTATTTATGATCCGAGTGTTGACCAAGGGCTTTTATAGTCATCATTTAATCTGTCTCCAGAACCACACAGGGGACAGGATCATCAGCTCAACAGATGAGAAACTAGGCCCAGAGCGGTTAAGAGGCTTGCCTATGTTCCTGTCCCCGAAAACACGCCTTCCAACCTCTTCCACAGTGTCCCCGACAGTATGTGGTCTTTCCGCTTCACGCTCAGTGAGACAGGGACCCTCGTCTGCCTCAGGAGATGGCAGACGTTGGTGACAGCAGGAAAGGCTGCCGAGGCCTCAAGGGACATCAGAAGTCCTGGGTCCATTGTGGCTCTGCCACTGATTGGCCACGTGACCTCAAGATGACACAGTCTCTCTTTGGGCTTCGGTTTTCCTTCATTTGAAGAATGAGGGCTTTGATCTGAGTCCCCCAAGACTGCTTCCAGGCCAGGCCACCTTCCCCGTCAGGCTGTCTGAGACACTGGATGAACTTCAATGCCCTCCCACTCTGGGAGGCTCCCTTTTCCTTCTCCCACTCTGACTCTTTCCACATGTCTCCCACACATGGGCCACAGTTCCTGTTCTTACTGCTGGGCCTTTTCCTGTACTGCATCCTCCTGTCCCCTTCCAGTGTCCTCTAACAACAGACTGAGACCCTACCCTACCCATAGCAAAGCCTCAGGGCCCCAAAGGGAAGGACAGACTCAGAAAAGTGGGGCCTGGTCTGGCCTTGAGAACCAGGGCGAGGGCCAGCCTAGGGCACTGAGCACTGCGAGGGGAAGGTGGCCAGGCCCGCTCTGGAGGCCCCAGTCTGACTGACACTGGCGGCCTGGGGAGGCAGCATGGGTGGGCATGCGTGGACCCTCCAGGTGTGGCCCTGAGCGCTGCGCCTCTGGCCAATGGGAGCAGGTCCGTTCTCTTCTCCAGCTTGTGGCCCAGAGAAGAAGGCTCTGAAAGAGGAAAGCAGATTTGCACTTCCCAGGGCGTCCACTATGGAAGCGCCTATGATTCAGGAATGGAAACTGAAGGCTCTGCGTCTGGAGCACCCTGCCGGCAGCCACACGTCAGCTTCCCTCCACACTGTGCCTGTCGCGGAGCCGTGAGGGGCCTCAAGCAGCCCCCGCGGTGGCTCCCAGAGGAAGTGCGTTCGCCGAGGAGTCCCAGACCCCTAAGGCCAGTGCCTCCCAACGCAGCGCCGGCCCTGGCCAGCCGCTCCCTTCCATCGCCAGGGCTTTGTCTCCCAGGTCCCCAGAGGACACGGCGACCAGGACTGGGCTGTGTGTGGTACAGGCTGCTTTGTTCCCGCTGGGAGCGGAAGTGCTCTACCTGCTCCATGTAAGCCCCGCCTACTCCTTCCGGAGTGGCGGACGATGTCCAGAGATGCTTCCTAAGGAACACCAGAGCTGGAAAGGAGCTTGGAAATGGTCCACGCAATCCTGTTGGAAGGGAGAAAACCCACATCAGGCTGATGGTTAGGAACTAGACTCCCAGGACCTGGGGCTCCAGGTTCCGTGCTCTTCCGCTGCTTTGCTCTGAGTCACAACCTCCCCGCTCCAAGTCGCAGCCCAGAGTCCACGGGGTTTCTTCCAAAGCATCTCTTGACAGAATGTCCCTCATCCTTTATTGGCCACCAGTGGTCCCACCCTCTGCGGCCTGTCCAGGATACCCGCTGCCTCTCACCCGTCCGCAGCCTGCTGTGCAGCAGCCGGGCTGCCCCCTTCTGGACGACTGGCGTCCATCGCCAGCTGTCAGCACACCACCCTTCCGGTGCCACCTGGATGTGACGACTGATGCTCCCACCCAAATGAAAGATCGTGGACACCAGTTACCCCTCACTCTTCACCTCACTTCGGTTTACAGGAGTGGAAAGTGGACCCTTGGAGGGAGTCTACGAGACGTCTCAACATCACACTGCTGGGCCACGGCAGGTCCGAGAGAAGAATGCAGAGCTTGGGTTCCTGACACCCAAACCTCTAGAAGGGGTGGTCAGAAAGCCCTGTGTTGTTCTACACTGCTCCCCTGGGGCTCTTGTGTCCCCCATCACAGGTGCTGTGGCTCTCTCCTCACCTCCCACATCCTCCCTCACTCTCTGACCATGCCACCAGGCCCTGTGGACACACACATCTTCCTCGCCTGGAGAGAGTGCCCCAGCCTCCCCCAGCAGGGTGCGCACCTGCACCACACCTGCCACCTGCTCTGCTCCCCACAAACCGTGCCCCTGTCCACCAGCAACAAGATTAGCTGGGGAAGTGGAGCAGCCCTGCCTGCCTGCCTTTCCCTGGGCTGGTTTCAGATCAGACCCTGCAGGCTGCTGGCCATGACCGGCTTCCTCCTGAGTAGCTACTGTGAAGCAGGCAGCCCCTTCCCTCCCAGAGCACAGGCCGGAAAGCCCCCACCTCGGCCAGGAGAAAGGCTCACTGGGACCGTCAGCTGTCTTCTGTTTTGATGGAGCACTTGGCCCTGGACTTCCAGCATGCATGTGCAGTGTGTGTGTGCATGTGTGTATGTGTGCACATGTGTACAGGTGACAGCCCTCATATGTCACGGGGACACTGAAGATGGAGAAACAGTGGATGGAAACACTGCAGCCATGGAACGTTCTGCTTCTTCCTCAGCTCAGACAAGCCCATTCTCATCCCTGGCCTTGGTATCTGAGGCAAAGGACTGCCAGCATCTGTGCTGGGCCTGACCTCTGCACATGGTGACCCTCCGCCCCCCTCCACTGTTGGCCCTTCAGCAGGGGCGGGGGCAGGCAGCAGAGCCTGGTGACATTTCCCATTTTCTGCCTCTTCCCAACCTGTCTGATCTCTGCCTCTGTCTGTCCCCTTGCCCTTGCTGGTCCTGTTCTTGAGTCCTCCGGGAAGGGACTCCACAGGCCTTTTAGAAAGGGGTTGGGATGCCCTGCACTTCTGCAGCTGGGCATCTAAAGGGAGAAGATTTTTGGAGCATCCATCTTGCTCACGTGAATGTTCTTACAGTCACAGGGAGAGGAATGTTCATGTCCAAGAACCCATGTAGAGGCCTTGTACTCTGAGGGCCGCTGGGGGGTCCAGAATGCCCATCACTGAGCTTGTCCCTCTTTCTGGGGAAGAGAGGGCCATAGCCCTGGAGAGATGCTTGCAGTGGCATAGAAATGGGCCAGGGTTCCAAACCCATTGCGAGGGTGAATGCTTCCTCCTCCCTCCTCCTCCTATTCCACACGCCTTTAGATTGGCTTATGGATGTCTTAAAGCATGGTCCATCCCCCAGGGTGTTTGAATTTTATTAGGAGAACTTTGAAAGGATTTTAACCAAAAGAAGAGAGAGAACAAGGGAGGAAGGAGAATGAGAGTGCAAGACGGAGGGGACAGACTGGGCCCAGTCATTGCCCCTGCTTCCGTCCCCTGTGAGGAGGTGAATCCATGAAGGACAGCAGTCGTCTGCACCAGCACATGGCTTTTCCTCATGGGATCTGACTTGACCTGTACAGTGTCCCTCAGCAGGGCCCAGGCTGCACCGCAGTGTGAAGCCTGTGAATGAGATGCCAAGTAAGTGAGAGGCAGGACCAGAACTTGGGTCCAGGGCTCTGCACATCCTCCCACAGTGCCCCCCAGGAGGCATGGAACCAGCTGTTGTCTGGGCCTGCCACGACATGGAACCGTGGCCCAGAAGGCAGGAGGCCTCCTGCCCAGGGAGCCCTGATGACAGGCCTGGCACCCTTGCAGGTATCGATTACCGAGTGAAGACGGTGAATGTGGATGGCTCTCAGGTGGCCCTGCAGCTGTGGGACACGGCTGGGCAGGAGAGGTGAGGAGCTGTCCCTGAGGTGTGGGCTGTGGAGCAGGCCGCTCAGGCCTGACGGTGCCTCCCCGGGCAGGTACCGCTGCATCACCCAGCAGTTCTTCCGGAAGGCTGACGGCATCATCATCATGTACGACCTCACGGCCAAGGAGTCGTTCCTGTCAGTCCGGCAGTGGCTCAGCAGCGTGGAGGTGAGCTGAGCTGGCCCTTCTGGCAGCTGCGCACCTTCTGCCCTGCCCCTCTCCCCCTGGCTCTCACCTTCCTGGGCCTACACCGAGGTGGGTGTGTGTTTGCTTGTGCATGCAAGATCCTCATACCAGCTGAGGTATGGGGGTCAGGAGTGAGTACAGAGGCGCTGCCCCCGCCTTCCTGGAGAAACATAGATATCAGAGAGCTGTGGTCTGAGTGCTGGCTGAAACACAGGTTGAACTATGACCGTCACCGTCACCGTGAGGTATGAAGAGTGCGGAACTTAATCGGACCACGGTGTTTAGGAGGTGTGGAAAGGAGGCTGTAAGGGGTGCACCCCAATCCAGAGGGACTGTGGCTGCACAAGAGGAGGAAGAGAGGCCTGAGCTGGATGTTCTGTCTTGCCATGTGCCATGCACCACCTGGGACACTGCAGGGTGGAGAGAACCTCACCAGATATAGCTGTCCAATCTTGAACTCCCCAGCCTTAGAGCAGTGAGCCAGATGAGCCTGGTTCTTATAAACGAGTCAGCTTGTGGTATTCAGTTATGGCAACAGGCAGTGGACTGAGACCACATAGCACTTTATAGGTTACATATGATTTTTCATTAAATCTCGTGCCACCTCCTCTGGAATGGCCACTGCTATTTTATTCTACAGACAGAAGTTGGCTCACTCATATAACCTGGTCTTTCTCAGTTCCTATTGATGTTGTAAGTAATCTATTTTTTCTCTTTTTTATTGCTACATTTCAGATATACATAATGATAACATCCAACAAAGGGCATTTGTACCTGTATATGGTATATCTTGCTTCTTTTTTTCCCATTCCCCTACCTTCCCCTCAACCCCTCTTCTTCTCTTTATATACCAAAGAGGGGCCAGGGATTTAGCTCAGTGGTTTTGCTGCCTGCTGTGCAAGCTCAAGGACCCAAGTTCGATCCCCGGTACCCCCCCCCAAAAAAACCTTATTTACCAAAGCTTTGTTTCCATTTTCCCTTCTATTTTTTCCTTGTCCCTTCTTTCCTTTCCCCCTCCCCTCTCCCTTATTCCTCAATTGGATATATTCTTCCCATTTTCTAATATCAGTTGTACATTTTGTCCTTATTTACACTTTTGGTTTCTCACACCAGAGAAACCATGTGATATTTGAATGTGTGTGTCTGATTTATTTCACTTAAGAGTATGGTCTCAAGGTGCCTCCATTTAGTTAGAAATGTTTCAAGCTTATTCTTCTCCATGGCAGAGTAGTGCTCAATTGTGTTAAAAACAAAAAACCACATCTTCTTTATTCATTCATCTGATGGGCATTTGGACTGTTTCCAAGATTTAGCTATTACAAACTGTGCTGGTATAAACATGGGTGTGCATATATCTCTGTGGCATGATGGTGTTGATTCTTTCAGGAAGATAACAAGAACAAGAATAACTGGGTCAAATGGCACCTCTAGTTTTAGTTTTTGGCACTATTTTTGGTTCTGATCTTTATAATTTCCACCTTGTACAAGCTTTGGGCTTGATTGCTCCTCTTTTTCTAGAAGTTTAAGATTCAACATTAGGTTGTTTATTTGAGCTCGCTCTGTTTTTCTGATATGGGAATTCACTGCTATAAATTTCCCTCATAGGATTGCTTTCATTGTGTCCCATAAGTTCTGGTATGTTGTATTAGCATCATTATTTAATTGTAGAAATTATCTAATTTCTTGAACTAAATTTATGGTTACATAACAAATTCTAAAACAAAACAAAATTGTATACAGTAAACAAACCCTCAGTACCCTCAGATGAGAAAATTTATAAGGAGTTAGGAGGAAAAATAGAGAAATAAAAGAGGAAGAAGAAATTAGAAGCAAGGCTGGAGGAAGATTATGCAAACTTGTGGGAAACTGGTGAAGACAAGAGAGAAAGAGAGAAGGAAGAAATAAAAACAAGAACAAAACAACAACAACTTAAAAACTAGAAACCTTTTCCCCACTCATATAAAAACAAGAACAATCTAGAAAAATACAAAGAAAAAAGAAAATAAATGTCCACTGAAAGCATGTCTCTGCTGTCACTGGTAGACAAAGTGGTCAGACAGATTCCAGATCCATGTTGATTAATCCCAGCAAGACAGCTGTAGCTTTACAGTGAGGTAGTGGATAATCCCAGCAAGCCTGCGCCTTTAGTTTCACTGAAGTTCAGGCTGGTTTCTGGCTGTGAGGCTGGAATCTGATTTGTTCAGTCTCTATCACTCCTTGTGTCTCCTGATGGCCTGAACTTGGCTTCTTAGCCTCTTGCCATTTGGCAGCCTCACCCTGACACTGGGAGCCACTAGGTGGAGCCGTCAGTCAGTTGCTCTGAGTTCCAAGCCCAGTTGGGCCCTCTCCAAGATGGCTACTGGCCCTCTACTGGGGAATTCTGAACCTAAAAACACCAGCTACTGCAGTCCGCTGAGTCCACTGCTCTGTTTCACTGGTGCGTTTCTTCATGGAGGCCTCTGGAGTTGCCAGCAGTCACTATGCATCTGCAGGTTCGAGATGCCCCTCCCACACAGTGAGTCATGGCTTAGGGAGAAATCGCAGCTTGCCACTTCCTTCTTTTACATTTAGGCCTCTCCACTTTCCCCGTGGGCTTCAATTTGCACTGCTGATCCTTCCTGGGTCCCAGGGACCCATTTCTCTCCTTCTCTTCTCCCTCACATTGCTATATTCCAGTGTCTGGACACCAAATCTTAGAGAGGCTGTTTCTCTACTGCTCATCCCTCCTCCATGGGTTACTCAGAAATTTACTTAATGCAAATCATTCCTCAAAATTACTGTGCATAAAACCCTTACAACTCTAAAACTGTAAGTTTTGAAATATAGCAGATTATCTATGCACGAGACTAATAAGGGTAGCAAATGGTATGGATAAATGTGGAAATTCCTCTTTATGCTTTGCAGTTTATGGCATGATTTTCTTTCCCTTCCCTACTCTGTCATCCCCTCCTCCTCACCCTCCTGGTTTCCTTTTTCTTCCTTCTTGTTGGCAGCACCAGGAGAGGCACTGGGGATGCCCTTAGCCCACAGTCTTCACGCTGTTATCCCTGGATCCTTGGAAGCAGGAATATATTCCCCAAGAGTGGGGCAGGGAAAGTCTAAGGACCCCAGTTCTAGGGGCTCATCTCTTTTTGTCATTAGATCTGCTTGGCTTCTTTCAGTTGTGCATATTGAGGGTACAGGTACAGTTTTACTAGGCAAAAGTGTTTCCCTGTGAAAATTACCAATTTAGTACAATCTAGCACACCAATTTCATCTAAAATGAAGAAATTAGGACTAACTTTTCCAAGGCCACCCATTCTTTTCCTAGCCATAGACATTTAATTGTCTCCCATTCTAAATTGTGATATATATTGGAACTGGGTTGAGGCAGTCCAGAAATAATGGAGGTAGATGGAAACAAATTTGTAGAACTATGCTCTCTGGTATCATTAGGAGTATAGTTTCTAGGTCTCCTGTTTGCACAGCAGATCTGGGATCAAGAGAGATAGAGCATCAGATTGGACTTGATGGTAGAGGTGAAGAAATCTCAGATTTCACTGCAGCTTGGAATATAAGTCCAGTCACTACAAACAACTGTTACTAAGCATTGGATGTCTGCCTGTTCCTTCAGGGAATGAGACTGACAGCACCATCAGCATGTGCTTGGGAAGATGCCCATGGAAGCCTTGGAGCACCCAGAGGGGTCAATCCATACATGCCTAACTCAGAATAATCTGTGTATTAGTCAGCATTTCCTTACTGGCACCAAGTACCTGACATACACAACTTGAAGGCTCATGGTTTTGGAGGGTTCAGTCCATGGGAGGCTGGCTCCAAGGCAGAAGCAGAATGATGGAAGGGTGTGGCAGAAGAAAGCTGCTTAACCCATGGCAGCCAGGAAGCAGAGAGAGCAGGAGGGACCAGGGAGAGGAGAGGGCTGATAACAAGATATACCCTTCAAAGTCGCATCCTCAGTGACCTGCTTCCTACTAACAGTCCATTTGTCTATGAACTCATCGTGATCAATCCACTGATGAGGTTAGTACCTTCTGCATTAGGGATCAATTGGGAACTTCAGGGGACACTTCATATTTCAACAGAAACACTAAGTGTAGATAATTTGTAGTTTGAGTTTTTCTTATTGTAAATTTGTAGCAGAAGGTATAAACTCTCAAACAATGTTTCTGACCTTGGATAAACATGAGAATTACCTGAATAAGATTGATGTCAATTAGACCCTCTCTCCCAATTAGAAGATTCAGGGCCTAGAAAAAAAGTTAAATTTCCTCAGGTGTTTTTGATTCTCAGCCACCATAGTTTCTACCCCAATTAAGGGTTTCTCAAACTCCCATATACCTGGAGGTCTCTTGGAGCTTTGTCTAAATGTGGATTGATTCAACAGATCTGGAGTGGGGGCCAAGGTTTCGCATTTCTAACAAATCCTCAGGGGAGGCCCATGCTACTCACCCAAGGACCATCCTATGAGTAGCAAGGCTGAGTCATTCTGAAAGACATCCAGGACCCCTTGCCAGGAACTTGCTGAGCTTGCCCCACATGCCCAGCACTCACCAGGTGCTTTGGGGGACCCGGTTAAAGGACTGGGAAATGGATTCAGCTCAGTGGGATGGTGTTTCCAGAATAAGTTCGGGAGCTGCATCAGATGGCGCATGTGTGTTGAGGTGTGGAACAGAGGCATCAGGAATGCAATTATTCTCTTGATTCTTGAAAAGCTAAGTCAGTCTACCTTGGCAACCAGCAATCAGAGGTGTCAGGTGATATATTAAAACTTGACATCTAATTTGATCTTAGGGGAACTGAAAATAATAAGTACTTTATATTTGTGGAGCACCTTATTTTTCCAAAGAGTTCCAAGCACTTTACCAACTCCCTCGCCTGGGAAGGAGGGTGAAAGGGAAGCTTTAATAATAGTCTTCATGGTTCTGAAGCCTTATTATTAACTGAATGGTGGCCAGCTGTTCTCAGTGCCCCTTTTTTCCTCAACCTGAAAAACAGCACTAGAAAAAAGGGCTGAAATTGCCATACATGGGAGAGACTCTTGGATGAGGTTATGGGGGTGGGGACAGATGCTGGGGGAGGCAGTGAAGTCCCCTGGAAAGGAAGTTCTCACCATGCCAACTCAGCCATTTCCTGCCCACTGAACTTTGGCTAATCATACTAGGAGCAAGTGGAGCAAACACTTAAAGGCTCCTTCTGGAACTGGACTCTCTCAGGGGGCCTGGATAGAGCAGGAGTGTGTGAATGAGGAGACCCTTGAAGGTCCCTCCAGCTCAAAGGGAACCAAGGTCATTCCATGCAAGAGGCCACCTGCAGTGTTTGTCCTTAGTTACTGCGGCCAAATTTATAATACAAGGAATGCTACTTACGGAGGAAAGTTAACTTCACTCACGGTATAGGAGAATCAAGGGCACAGGAGCCCTCTTGGCTGTGCTACAGTATGGCAGATCCCACCCTGGAAGAAGGACATGTGAGGACGAGATCACAGCACCGAACCAGAAGCTGCCGAGATGGGAGGGGCTGGCTTACTCTCCCCCAAAAAATAAGCCAGGTCCCAGGAGAACCACCTTAATCCTTCTGAAGGAAACTCCCAATAACCTATGGGCCTCCCCTAGCCTCCCCTTGTGGAGGTTGCATCTCTCAACATCACCATGTTGAGAACCAGGCCAACCCTTGGGGAACAGACTCAACTCCAATCATCACATTTGCCCTGTCTGATGGGTGGGAGGGTCCTGCCCTCGGGCCTGGTCTACCCACGCCTGCCCAGTCCTCGTGCCACATCACCAGCTTCACTGCCAGGCCTTCTGCAGAAGAGCACACCTGTGCTGAGCCTCTGTGTGCTAACAGGAAGTCAGAGCGGTCAGTCATCCTACCAGCGCTGCACCCCACCCACTTCTCCTCACCACTGGCTAGAGCTGGTCTGGCCATTCCCCTTTGGAGAAGAAACTGGCCAGGCTCTGGGAGCCCCACACTGAGACCATGACACAAACAGACATCTGAAGACTTGGGGCCCTATGTCAGGCACAGATAATAGAATGGTCCCAAGCCTATATAGACTTGTATTTCCCCCGAATCCAGGTTGTTGGCCCTGAGGTCTGCAGTCCTGGATGTTGAAGTTCTCATTTCGATCTTTTGTGTCCTTCTGATAGCACTGTATCATTAGGCCTACAAGCCAAGGGACCAGAATACAACAAGATGGTCAAGCCACACAGACCAGTCTCTGAGCTGGAGGAAAAACTGGAGATTAATTTTATGTGAACCCTTTTCACTAGGTGAGAAAACTGAGCTCCATGGAGAGGAAGTGGCCTGTCCAAAGGTGCCCACCACTGGTCAGCAGCATGGCCAGAGCTGGAATCCAGGGCTCTGCCTCTGCCCTGTGCTTCTGTCCTGCCACATGGCCCATGGCTGAAATCTCCTGCTGAGAAACAGGTGTCATTTTCTCTTCAGTCCTTCTTGCTTTAGTCTCAAAGCTGAGCAGCTCAAGGGGCTCTGGCCCACTCGCCCCCTCCCCTCCCCGTGCTGCTAGCTAAATCTCATTCTGTGATCTTTGTCCTTGGTGACAATGTACAGCACAAAGCAAAAAATAGCAGCTTGATTTTTTTCCCACGTTCCAAGTTGAGCTTGAAGTGCTGGCACTTTGAAACACACTGCACAAATAAATCTTGTTTTGACTCATAGTCCAGGGGGTGGATAAATATGGAAACCCCCAAGATATAATTTTGCAGTCATTTTTTTCTTAGCATAACAGCATGCTTTAATATGCTGAGAAAATTTTTGTTCTCGCTCCAGAGAAATAGCAGCACTATCTCAGCTAAGTGCTTTTTCATGCCTCTCAGCAAATAGATATTAACACACACGCACACGCACACACACACACACACCCTACAACTAACCCAGCCTAACAGCTGCACTTCCTGAGCTGAATGCCAATCGCCAGCTCTAAGCTGACAGCTCTAGTTATTTAAAGTCAGAGATGGGTAATCTTTAGAATTTCAATAACTCTGACTTCCAACAAGCTCAAGTTCAGGAAAAGGCAACTAAGATGATAGAAGGTGTAGGGAGGGTTCTCTGTCAAAAGGTCCCAGAAGAGAAAACAGCTCTAGAAGCCTGCTTTAAGCTCAGGAGTTAGGGAACTGGAGAAGAGCAATCAGATGAGTCTCGTGGACAGATGGTCGCAGAGCCAGAGCACCCACGTCTGGTAAGAAGTGGTCGCATGTTGTTCCGGTCCATCACACCCCTGGGATGCTCACCTATGACAATAACCTGTACCAGTATTAACAGTGGATCTGAGGCTTGTACTCTTAAAAGGAAGTGCCATACGTGCGGTGTGGCTTGGTGGTGGAGCACCTGCCTTGCGTGCAAGAGGCCATGGTGCCATCTGCAGCACTGCATAAAGAGGGGACGTGTGTGTCACCTAGTGGGCTGTCAGGAACCTCCTCTGCCAGGTGGACGAGACCTAGTAATGGAAGGGGAAGGTGTAAGTTCAGGCAGACTGTTCAAGACTTTCAGAGTTGGAGGGATCCCTGGGACCCTCACGCCTATGTAGCCCATCTCTCTGCCCCATGCCAGGGGCTGGCCTTGGGCCAGGGTGCTGATGACCAGCTTCCTGTGACAGGAAGCACATCCTCTGGCCTTATGTGTGTTCTCTTTCATTTTTGCCATCTTTTGGAAACAGGCCTCATTCTTCTTTGTCCATGGCAGGCCAGCCCCACAGAGAGGAAGCGCATTGCCTGGAGTGGTCGTGCAGGACAGGAACTACACAAAAACAGAAATCTTAGTTCATGCCAGGTGCTTTGCTTTCTCCTGCTCTATTTTATTTTTATATCTAGGAATGACTTTTAAAAGAAAGTCAAAGGCTGCCCCTTTTCCTGAAAGGCGGTGCTGCTGCTGCGAGGTGCAGGCCCTGATGGTGGACTGTGCCGCAAGCCCCACCCATCCCTTTCAGCTCTCAGAATCTGCCGTCCCCTTCGCAGGGAGGAAGCACAGCCATTGCCCCTTCCAAGTGACAACAAAATCTGGTCAAAATTCTATCCTGAGATTTCGAGTCTGATGCTCATATTTTCAGAGTTTCCATATCAAGAAATCCCACAAGCCTTAGTCATTTCTCACACATCAGTGTACAAATATATCTTCCTCATGTGCTCTAAACAGCAAGCCTTTGGCCTAGTTCCCTGCTTCCTCCTCTTTTCTTCCTTTTCTGTGAAAAACTCTTTGCACAAGTATCCAGTCACTTCAGAGAATGGGAAGACACCCATTAGCTAATGCTCTGGCCAATAGGGAGCCGCAGCGGTGGGGTTTTTACCTGCCGTCTGCTTTCCACCTTAACTGAAGTGCGTGTTATTTAATCTGTTGTCAGGAGGCCCGAGTGCACTGTAAGATCTTGTAGGGCTTCAAGTCATCCTTAAGAACATTAGTTACCATCTTAGCAAGGGATGCCGTTTTTAGAGAGCTCTGTTTAGTAAGATGCTAGGTAGCAGTGAGTCCATAAGAGATAGGAATCCAGATGAAAAGGCTGGGGAATTGTGGACCTGTATGCTGATGGGCCTCATAGCTTAATGGTTTGTTGTTGAATGTTCTTTTGAGTTCTCTGAACCTAATATTTTCGTTTAGTAGTTGAGAATTTTTTTCTACTACTGAATTGCAATAAAAATGAATGTACAGATTAAGGAAATATTGAGGTTTTAATTAAAATAGGTGTTCCTGTCAGGTGGACTTTAGACATTCATCTGAAGTGCTGAGGTAAAGTAGCTAAAGTATTGGTAAACTAACTGCTATAGGTTCCGGTATTCCACAGCCTTTCTATTTAGTAAAACATGTAGCTACAATGAATAACTACTAGTTACCAAATTATGATTAAGAGCCCCTAATTAAATATTTCACAAAGTAAAAAGAACAGGCTTCCTCAATGTGACCATTACCATATTTACACGCTGAATAGCTGCCATCCTGGACCCTCTGTTCCCCTCCAGGAGAGGCACCCGCTGTGGCCCCTTTCTGGAAAGGGGCGGAGACTGCAGGACACGCCCCTGGCCGGTGCGTCCCAGCGTCCCAGCAGAGCAGGAGTAAACAGAACCCAGGCCATGAGGGAGCCTGTGGCCCCTGACCCAGCCAGGGCGGTGGCTGCGGCCTCCTGGGTCTCCAGAGTGGCGCCCCGCGGCCCGGTCTGCGGCGCCCCCTCCAGCCAGGCCCTCCACAGCCCGTTGTGGAGGTCTGTGAGCGCCACATGGCGAGCCAGCCTGGATCCAGCCCTCGGGGAGCCCATGTGCCAGTACGAGGCTCTGAGAGACCACTCTGACCCAAGCATTCTGCAGAGGAGCTCCAGACCAGGCTGGTTTCCTTTGGTTCATTCCCAGCATGGTCACTGCGGACGCCGCAGGAGGCACTGTGAGCCCTAGAAGAGAACTCAGTGTCCATCAGTGTCCATTGTCCCCCCACTGTCCACCCCAGAACACCTGGGCACTGCCAATTCCATCCAAGAATGAGGCAGATTGCAGACCGGGACGGGGAGGCAGCCAGAGCCCTCTGGCACCATGCGGAAGTGCGTCTCTCAGAGGGACGGCTCTCCCCACTGTGTGCCAGCAGGGCGCTCGCAAACCAGACCTTACCACTGCAGCCTGGTGTTGTGCCTGCCCTCTGGGCTGTCCCCGTGGAGGATTCCTCAGCTGGCACACTATCTGTTCTGCAGGAGGCTGTAGGAGACCACGTTCCTGTTCTGCTGCTGGGAAATAAACTTGACAATGAGAAGGAGCGGGAAGTCCCCCAGGGCCTGGGGGAGCAGCTGGCCAAGGTAAGCTCCAGCCTTTCTTTCTGTCTGGACGTGGGAACCCCGGCAGCCCTGGCTCCTGTGCATGAAGAATGCCACAGGTCACACGAGCGCACTGGCTGGGAACCACGAGGTGCGGGGAATACCCTAAACTTTGTGTCTTGGGCGGGGGGAGTATTTACTCTAACACAGTAAGAGGTTATGTATTTCAGCTTTTGATTTTTGCATTTGATTACATCCAAGAATGAAAAACTCAGTACCCACAGGGCCACTATGCTAGAGAATCATTGTTTCCACCAAGACAGTGCTTTGCAGGTGTGAACTCAAGATAAACTCAGGGGAGGCTCTGGAAAGCCTGCCATTGAAATAAGCAGCCGCCTCTGGCCAAGAGCAGAGCAGTAGGGCTTTGCAGAAAACAGGCAATGAGACGAGGCTTGCCTTGGGCTTCTCTTCCACCGGACTGTGTCTGGGAGGGCGGGTGCTCACCAGCCCTGTAGTTCTGCAGCTCTCGCTGCATTCACCCTACACAGGAAGCTGGGCTCATCGGTCCCAGAAGAGGTCACAGATGGTGAGTTTCAAGGAGAAAGGATGAAGGGGGCCTGCCTGCCAGGTGTCTGTGCGGAAGGTCGCGGGGGGGGGGTCTGCAGTCCAAGACCCAAATACCCCGAAGGGTGAATGGTTCTTGTACATATCATTCAGCAGGAAAGTTTGACCAGAACTGACAGAAGGCTGTGTGGTCTTACCGACATTCTGAGTAAATATTCAAGTGTCACTGAAGAAGCATGAATGTGTTCCATTATAGGGGGTCGCTCCAGACCCTCTGAGGGTATTGCATGATACATAGTACATAACACGTGTGTTGCCTTTCTACATTTCAAAAAATTCTGACTCCCAAAAGACATGTAGATCCAAAGATTTAGCTGAGGAAATGTAGACCTATGCTATCATTATTATCCCACCTTCTTTTCTTTGGTTCTATTTTCAGTCCATGAGAAGAGCACTGAGATGTAGCTGAGTGACTCACTTGGTTGGTCACACAGCTCACCAGCAGTGGGAGCAGCTCTGTGTCTCACTGTGGGTCCTGTGCCCTCCTGCCCCTAGCCGCCTGGGAAGTCTCTGACAGACTGACCCTGAGCGTGCACATCGGGAGGCAAAGGGGCAGAGGTGGGTGGGGCCGTGGCTGTGCATGGGGACAGCTGGATTGCAAGCCAGGGTTTGAGCCACAACCGCTGAAGTACCTCGCTCAGCTGGCCCCGTCCCCACCCGAGGAAAGAGCATCTCAGAGCAGGGGCCAGTGCCATCAGCACTGCTGTTGTAGAGCGAGCAGTGTGTTGAGGGAGGTAATAAATGCACCTCCAAGAGCCTCGGCCATGGGCCTATGCACAGCCTCCACCTGAGAGGGAGGGCAGGTGTGCTGTGCGCCAGCGCTGAGCCCAGGCAGCTGGGTGCCTCGTTAACTGGCGTGAAGGAGAGTCCAACTGGAGGGCTTCGGCATCTGCCAGGCCCAGGGAAGCCCAGTGTCCCGGGCAGAGCTCAGCACTGCACACCCTGCCATGCAGTCACTGTGGGACCCTGACTGGGGGTCAGCCACATGGGGCACTAGCCTGGTTCCATCTGGGAAGTGGGAAGAATACGCCTGCGCTGGTCTTTGCATCCCGTCGTGGTCCCAAGGCTGCCGAGATGGAAAGGAGTGTGTGCGTTCCTGCAAGGGAGAGGGGCCAGTGTGGGCCGGTCAGGCTGTGCAGGGCGTTTCACAATCGCAGCTCACCTGGGGATGCTCACAGACAGCAGCAGACAGGGAGCTGAGGAGCCAGAAACCAGCTGGGGCCCGGGTAAGGACAGGCTGAGGAGTTCAAGGGTCTGCGAGAGGAGATGAGGGCTTAGGAAGAGGTGGTCAGGGCACCCCCAGCTGCCTCTAGCTCCCCAACACCCTCCTCCTAGCTCCTGTTCTCTGATTCTAGGAGCACGATCTGATCTTCTATGAGTGCAGCGCCTGTTCTGGTCACAACACCATAGAGTCCCTGCTCCACCTAGCCAGGTAAGGAGGCACGCGCAGAAGGCCAGGGGATGAGCTGAGCCCAGCTGAGGGCTGGAGGGTGCAGTGGATGCGCTGTGCCCCCTCTGCCCAGACTGGACTGCTGGGCCCGCTGCCTATCTGCCCAGCACTCTGAATCCAGGCCAGCGGCCCAGGCCTCTGTGTGGGATTTCAGCCATCAGAGGCACCCTCCTGCATGGCAGGAGATACGGGAGCTCCCTCCTCTCTGAGTCTTATAGGTGACTTTGTGCAGGGGCCCCGGGAAAGGTGCTCTGAGGTCCCTCAACACTATCGAGGATCTTAGCAGGGATTCGCAGGCAGCCAGCTGGGAACAGGCGTGGTTCTTCCTGAGAAGGGGGAGCAGCCAGAAAGGGTGGGGCTAGGACGGAGGGCCAGTGAGAGGTCCCCCCAGTTGTGATGCTGGAAGAGCTGGTCACACAGAAGGACTCGTTTCTTAAGACCCTGTCTAACCAAAAATGCAGAAAGGAGAACAGTCGTGTGCAGTGGAGAGGTCAGGCTCAGGGGAAAGGCCTAGGCTTCTCTCTCGCACAGACTCAGAGAGCTGCTGGTCCTGTCGGAACACCATGCTGACCTTTCCTGCCCGATCAGGTGCGTGTGCAGATCAGAGGGGAGGCATATGCTGAAGTGCTATGGAAACATAAAGGAGGATAAGGCACTTACCACTGTTTTAAATCCCTCACCTCCTACATTTAATCTGAGTCCGTGGGCAAGTGGCTCAGCCCTTCTGTGAAGTTAGCAATGAATAAGCCAGTGTCACGAGCCTGTGTGTCAGAAACGGGGTAGAACGTGGGACACGGGCAGAGCCTCTCTGCTCCAGCCGCTCACTGGTGAGGGACAAAGCCAGAAGCGTGCCCTGTGATGGTGAATGCTGGGCCTCGAGGGGCAGAGGCCAGAGTGCAGTCAGGCCCTGTGTCAGCACCTTGTTGAGGAGTCTCGGTGGAGGTGGACTAAGCTCTGGCGTAGTTAGTCCCACCCTGCATTGCCTGGGGAGAGGCTCAGCACTGCTCACACTCCGTCAGTGCTGTCTGCATCCCGAGGGTGGCCTGTCCCCAGGGGCCCGGCTCCTGAGCCTGGAAGATTCTCCACACTGACAAGGGCCTTCCCCTCTCCCAGGTTCCTCAAGGAACAGGAAGACACGGTGAGGGAGGACACCATTCAGGTGGGCCGTCCCACCAAGAAGAAACCCTGCTGCGGATGACGGGGGGCCTCTGAGGACTGGCTGTAGGGCAGCGTGGGCCTGCAGATGGGCTCCGTGCTGCAGCCGCGCCAAGTCCTGCCCAGACTCTGTCTTTGTTGGTGATTCGCCTCCTCCAGGAGGGACGTCATTGGGTCGGCAGTGCGGCTCCCATGCATCTCTCCTGGACCCCAAGTGCCCATTCCCTTGTCCCCTCCAGCTTGGTTTCCTGGGGGAAAGAAACAGATGGGCTTTTCCAGAAAAGCTGTCATGTGCCTTCTCCACCTTCCTCCTCCCTGGGCCCTTAGGAGCCTCTGTGCTGCGGTTGCCATGGCAACTGTGGGGCACCACCTTGCTCCTTCCTGGAGGCCGAAGATGCACCACTCGGGTGAAGCCAGAGCTGCTCTTCTTGCTTTGACCCCTGCTCTCTACTCTTGGCACACACTCTGTGGATCTTGAGAGACCCGAGTTGTGGAAAGCAGTGCATCTCTGCCTAGGGGCTCTGCCCCCCATCCCAGCCTCAGGGCAGTCTTCTGATGGTCACTGGGCCCACAGGTTCCCCCTCTGGGTCTCTAGAGCTGAGCCTCCCAGAGAACCCACAGCCTTTCCTGCCCATCTGCAGTGACCACCCTGACTCCAAGGCAAGCCATGTCTGGAGCTAGGGAGTCAGCTTTCTTCCTAACTCTGACTAAGAGATGGAAAGAAAACAAGAGTAGAAACCATCTGCTGCTAAGGGAGCGGCATCTCTAGAGGGTATAAGGAAGGTACAGACAGCTGTGTAAAGCCATGTTTCAAACGTGCCTCAGAATAGCTCTGGAAGGATCACGCGTGATGATTACGGTGGACTGATACGCAGGCAGTGTGGCCCAGCATGAGGGCCTCAGTTACCGACTGCATTTTCCTCTATTTTTCTTTCTCCAGGATGGTGTACTTTTCTCTAATGTGGCTGTAAGTTGGCATTTTGGTGGTGTTTGAGAAGGGACTAGAGTGTAGCTGCTGGCTTTGTCACAGGCTGCTGGAAGGGAGGGAAAGGCCTGGGTCGCCATGAGATTCCTTCCACTGGGGAGCTTTCTCAGGCACTGGCATTCTCCAGGGATCACGGGAGGGCATCGGGTGCAGCAAGTGCGTTCGTTGTCCTGGGCAGGAGGTCGGATGGAAAGATCACAAGACCTCTGCCAATTGCAAGTCCAGGACTGCAGGCCCAGGTGCCCACCAGAAGGTGGGTGGTCCAGACCCCAGTGTGGTGCACACTGAGGGAAGACGGCAGGAAGTGTCCCAGGGTCAAGCCCCCAGTAGCTGGCCAAAGACATCCCACACGCGGGAGTCCCAAGGGTCTACCCCCCCTCCTCCCAGACCCAAAAGAGTCGCCTTGGTGGGTCACTGAGCCAGAGGCGACCTCCTTTTTGCAAATCTCTCCCCCTAGTCTCCCCCTGACACTTGCAGAGGGCACGAGTGTCTGGAGGTCTGGAGGTGCTCCCTCCAGGGCCCTGCCTCACCACCACAGCAGGCGGTGGGCTATTTGAAGCTCAGGAACTTCCTGCTCAGATGCTTATGGTGGCATATTCATTTTCCTTCATTGACTGACCCCAGATCCCTGTCCAAGTTTGGAGAGAACTTTCAAGAAGCTCCTGTCTTGAGGGAAGGGTGGTGGTGATGGCCTTAGAGGCTGGGCAGGCAGTGTGTGTGTGTGTGTGTGTGTGTGTGTAGGGTAAGTGGAGGACAGGGTGGTCAGAGAATAGATTGGCTCCTCTGCTGGCCAGACCCAGAGAAGGAACTGGTATTGGACTGGTATTGTGGGTAAGCAGACTCCACCTGAGGCTCCCTACGTCCGCAGATGACTTTATCTCCCATGCCTTGTCCCCACCCCAGGTTGCATTTTTCTCATTTATAAAAAGTGCCTTCAAGGGCTTGCAGGTAGGTGGGACAACCCTGCTGCCAGTCTTCTGGCATGGGGTCAATGCCACCACTCTTCCGAGGCCTGGCAGAGAAGGAGGGGTAGGAGGACCTCCACCAACCTTGACCAGGACGCACACAGCAGCTCAGACCTGAGGCCAACCTTGGTATTTACCTGTGCGCGGCCAACACTCTTGCCCCTAGCTGGCCCATACCCCTGCTCCCCCAGCATGGCTCCTTATGCCCTTTTCGGGGTCTGCTGCTGCCTTCAGCCCTGCGCTGCCAGTTCAAGACCTCCAGCACCAAATCAAAGCCTGGTGCTCTGCTCACATCTCGCATGGGTTTCCCTTCAGTCTTGTTAGGGTCTTCTGTTCCCCATGACACCCCAGCTCTCCCTCTCCTGTTCTGTATTCTTGTCCTCTTCTTCAGTCTTGGGCTTCCTGCTCTCCCCCTGGGTCCACTCCAGGATACCTAGGTGCTCCATCACAAACGCCTGGAACCTGTGTTCTTATCCCAAGAAACCACTGTTCAGAAGGATGCTAGACTAATCTCAGCAGCGCTACTCTCACTAATGTGGCTCCAGGGCTGTATTTGTATGTTAACAAAGAACTCTGAGGGAGGCAAAACTAACCCAAGTGCACAAGTCCACAGGAGTGAAATATTAAGCACTAGAATGGTCATGGAGGTCACATATTTAAGACAGAGCTCTCTCCTCTCCTCTGTCAGAGACCTTTGTTTGCTTCATGCATTTAGGGACTCTTGCTGCATTGAAATACACTTGTAACTGTGAAGTCTTTGGGATGTCTTGGCCTTTTGTCATTAGGTAGTGTCCTCCTTTGTCTGTAGGAACAATTTTTGTTTTAATGCCCATTCTGTCTTGTATTACCAGAGCCACTTTTTCTGCTATTTCCATAGTGTATCTTTTATATTCTTTTAGTTCCAATCAATTTGTGACTTTGAAACTAAATTGAGTCTGTTTTAGACAGCATAGTTAGATCATTTTTTAAAACTTGTTTTTCCAATTTCTCTTTTAATTGGAATGCTTGATTTGTTTGCATGTAATACAATTGATAAAGTAGGATTTATGTCTGCTGTTTGGCTGTTTATTTTCTATACACCATCCTTATTCCTCTATTCTTACATTACTGTCTTCTTTTGTATTAAATAGATATTTCTAGTGAACCATTTTAATTCTCTTATTTTACTTACTGAACATGTTTTGCCTGTTTTCTTGGTGGTTGCCAGGATCACCATTAATATCTCAGGATCACCATTTAATATCTCAATTTACTAACAATCTGTGTGGATTAATAGCAACTTATTTTCAATAATATACAAAAATGTTCCTCCTGTATGATTTCATTCTTCTTCCCTTATGTTGTTATTGTCACAAATTACATCTTCACACATTCTGAGCCTATCAACACAGATTTGTAATTACTGTTTCATGCAGTCATCTTTTAACCATAGAGAACAAAGGAGTTTTAACAAAAAAATTATACTATCTTTTATGCTTGACCACACAATTCTTTAGCCATTGCTCTTTATGTCTGCATTTCAACTCCAATTATTACCTTGTGGCTTTTCATCTCAGCCTGAAGGACTGGCTCTTTTTATTATTTCTTTCAGGGCTGTCAGACAGTTACTTTTCTCATCATTGAGATACGATACCTGATATCCACAAGTTAAAGGAGGAAAGGTTTGTTTCACCTCACAGTTTGTGGAGGTTTCAGACCACAGCCAGCTGGCTCCAAGGCAGGGTGGCTTGACAGAGGGGGATCACAGAGAAGAAACAGTCCATGGCAGGGTAGGCAGAAAGCAGCAAACCAGTGAAGCAGTAAGCCTCCCTTTCCCTTTTATCCCATCCAGGCTACAAGCCTTTTGGGTGGCACTGCCCCACACCCACACCAAGGGTGGGGCTCCTCATGATCCACACCTAGAACTATGATAAGTCAATTAGTGGACTAATTCAGTACCACACATCCTTAATCTCAGTATCATGTGCCCATGAAAAGTCCCACCTATGAGCACATGAGACTTTGAGAGGACATCTAGATAAAATCCATAGCAAGGGCAGACCTGCTACAGATAAACTCTCTCAGTTTTTATATATCTGGGAATGTCTTAATTTATCTTACATTTCTCAAGAATATTTTTTGCTAGCTATAGTCTTTTTTGGTTGACCTCTCTTTCCAGCATTTTGACTATACATCCCAATGTTTCTGGCCTCCCTGGTTTCTGTCGTGAAATTAACTGTTAGTCTTATTGAGAGTCACTTGTATGTAATGGATTGCTTCTCTCTTTGTGCTTGGCTTTCAGCAGTTTGGTTTTGATGTTTCCAGCCACGGATCTCTTTTGCATTTATCCCACTTGGAGTGTGTTGAGCTTCTTGGGTGGGTAGATTAATAGTCTCATCAAGTTCAGGGAGATTTTTGTCATTATTTTTTCAAATATTCTCTCTACCATATTCTCTCTTTCCTTTCCTTTTGGGACTCTCATTATGCATTGTTGACATTCTTAATGGTGTCCTCCTGGCCTCTGAGGCTCTGCTCATTATTGTTACTCATTTTCCTTTGTGTTCCTCATCTGAGGCCAATGGGCCTACTTTCAAGTTCACTGATTCTTCTCTGGTCAAATATGAATTTTCTGTAAATATTAGTGAATTTTTCAATTCCATTATTTATTGTACCTTCAACTCCAGGATTTTCTAGGTTCTTCATTATAATTTTGTAGTCTTATTAATAGTCTATTTTTTGCAAGACTATTCTCATCCTTTCTTCTAGTTCTTTAAATATGGCTTCCTTCAAATCTTTGGATGTATTTAAAATACAGGTCTGTACTAGGTATTCAGCTGGCCAGTGCCTGCTTCCTTTCTTATACTCTACACAACACAGCTAGGAGTTGGTCTCCTTCCTTAGCTCCACCTCCAGCCTCCTCCCCAAATCTGTGGAGGTTTCAGTCCAAAACCGGCTGGCTCTGAGGCAGAATGGCACATGGTAGAGGGGCATCAGTTCATGGCAGCAGGAGACAGCAAAGCAACATGGGAAGGGGCCTCAACAGCATCTTTCTGCCCTTTTATTTTATGCAGACTACTTAGTGTGGGTAGCACTCACACCCTTAGTCCTAGTGCCCTTGAGCCTAGCACTGCACCATGAATCAGTCTCAGAAAAAGCACCATCTATGATGGCATGAGGCTTTGGCGGGACATCTAGACACAGCCATGACAGAGACTGAGATGCTTCTGGGTGGCCCAGTGAAGTTGAGGTGCCCAAGGAGGTGCTCAGCCCCTTGGGGAGGGGAGGCCAGACACCATTACACAGGGCTCCCAAGAATCCAGACATCCTGCACATGGGAAGGCTGCAAATTGGATCTGAAGCTTGAAAAGTAAAAGGCAGTTTACTCCTAAATAATGAAATTGTAGTACACCTGCAGGAAAAACCCAAGACCCAAGTGGCCTGTGCTGTTGGCTGGGACCAAACCCCAGCCTGGCATCAGGGACTCACCCATGGGGTCCCACCACCACTCCTCCTGGGAATGCAGAGGCTGCAGACTCCAGCCAGGCTCCCTCAGAACCCACAGGACTTGACCTTCCAGGTCATTCCCTCCCTCCTGAAGAGGCGTGGCTGACAGGACAGAAGTACCGTGTGAACTTCCCATTCCTTTTCCTACCTCTGTTGGTGTTTCTATTAATACACACATTAATCACCAGCAACAGCAATAACAAAGAACGATTCAGTGGAGCCAATTCAATCAAAGTGCCCTACTTAGAAGAACCCTGCTGGGAGGGTGGGGCCTGGGAGGCCATGCAAGGCAGTGCTTGGCAGAGGACCTGAAAGCCATGTGGAACTGAGGCACTCAGACAAGGTTGTGTCATTTATCATCCTGCACCCAGGCCTGAGTCAGGCCCAAGAGCTGACCCTTGTTCCAAGCTGGGACCTCATCGAGGCTTTGGCTCAGATTCAGAGGTGGTGTTTGCAGGACCTTGTCATCGCACCAGGAGGCTCTTCTTCCTACAAATAAGGACTCCTAGAACCAGTGTGGCTTGGGTTATCATAATGAATTATAGCTGGATCCATCTGACCTATAAAAATGAGTACTACCCATAAAAGACTGCCTATTAAGCAGAAATGGCAGAAGAACACAGACAGAGAGAATGGGACCATTTCTTTGGCTTGGAAACAAAAATTGAAATATGTGGCTGTGAGCTCAGAATGAATTTGGGAAACATGATTCTGTTGGTGGGATTCGCTGAGCAGGTGCAGCACTAGGTTAAGTACCTGGCATAGTCCTGGCCCCCCAGGTTGCTGTAATGGTGTGCACAGCACTGCTCTGTGGTTGCTAATCCCTGCACACTGCCCAGAGGGCTCTAACGAGTGTGGCTTCCTGTTTGGCTCAGGGCCTGGCGAGCATGTTTGCCTTATATGAGCAGTTGTGGCCGAGCACCATTTCTGGAGAAGAAGGCCCACCCCTGGGAGAACTGCTCCACTGGAGCCCAGGTCCCAGAGGCTGGAGCACTGTGCCCTGTGTCCTGGGCAGCCCCATGGGTTTGCTTCACTGGTTCAAATGAGGTGCTGCTTCTGGCTTCCAGAGCACCACACTGGGGAGCCTCCTGTCTCACCCCTCCCCGCAGCCTCCCAGCTGCTCCCAGTGGCAGTCATTACCCGCAGGCTGTTCAGCACTCAGTTGTCTTGGGCTCCCTGCCTCTGTGCAGAAGATGTTTCCTTGCCCATTTCTCTTTGTTCTTGGTGCGGGACTAGCTGTCTCTACCTCCCTGTGCCTCTCCCAAAAGCTTTCTCTGGCCCCTAAAGGCCTGCTCAGAATAAGGACCTGCATACAGGTTGTGTGGCTTTGGACAAAACCCAGACCCGGTGTCTGAGCCCAATTCCTCATCTATACAGGAGCACTCCCAACCTTACCCTCACTGCGGGGGACCTCAGAGAAGGAGCTGAGTTTACTGCAGGCACAGAACAAATGATAGCTATCAGTGCCTCATGTCTCCCCATGCAGGAGACCAAACTAAGCCTGGTAGGATAGAGAGAGAATCTACACTGCTCAGTAACAGAGAAGCTAGGGCCACAGGTACAAGCTCCTCCCGTTTCCCTGTGGAAGGAGAATAAGTAAAATTGCATTCCTTCAAGTTAGAGACTTTCATGCTTTCTTTTCACCATGACTTGAAGCGCATGTCACACAGGCCAGCAAAGCTCAAGTCTCCATTCTCGCATCTACAATATGGCACATGGCCTGATACAGAATAGACACTGAGTGGGTAGATGCACCAATTTACTGTCCAGTGAAGACATTAGGTCGTACATTCTTCACTGCCCCACCTTTACATATGCAGTTCATAGAAACTTCCACCTTGGGATGGTGAAGTTACGGAGACAGATGGTCGTGGGCATGGCTGGCTGCACATGGTGTCATGAATGCACTTGTAAGTTTGTAAATGGTTAAAGTTATAACATATGCATATTGTATTGCAATAAAAGGGAAATTCACACAAATATTCATGTTTTGTGAAAGAAGGAAAGATTGGTTCTCTTCCATCCCCAGCAATTAAGATGCTCCGAGCTGGCCTTGTGTTCTGTCCAGGTATGGGGGAGCTGGGAGGAGACAACCTGGCCTAGCCTGTAGCCTGGGAGCTGCAGGACACTTGGGGCAGCCAGCTCTGCTCTCTCTCCTGGCACTCCCTCTGCTCATCCCATCCATGCTCTTGGCAAGTTGGCCCCATGCCACTCCAAGCCCCTGTGGAACAGAATCTTCATGTCCTGAATGCCAACAGGAGTGCCACCCAGGCCCCAGAGCAGATATGAGTGTGTGGCAGGGAACCAAGTGATGAAAGTCTTTTGTTGTTCCTGCAATTCTGTCATTTTGACTGTGTCAAGAAATACATTAAGAAGTCCTCGGACATCCTGGCCTTGCAGAGATTTGCACTGTGATCATCTGTGGTGAAGAGAGGGAGGGAACCAGGGCTCTGCACAGGGAAGACTGA